TTCTTTTCTCTACTGTATAGCCCATCTGGATTCATCTCTCAGCCAGATGTTCTTCATTCCCTTAATATAGTCTTTCTGTTCATGGCCCTGTTAGAGGAAACGAAAAAGGAATGAAAAGGGAGTTGAAATCTGGATGGATTTCAGTTCTCTTCCCTCGCTCCTGGACTCTACTTTTAAATTCTGCTGAAAAGCTCTGTAGGGAGACATTGTATTTCATCTTCCATAAAACTATGTCATGAAACTAGAACAGCATAGTAGAGAGTGATTAAGTGCATGAACTTTCACTCAGATCTTGGTTTGAATCCTTGCTCTAAGGGTTACTAGCTGTATGATCTTAGGCAAATAACATGATCTCTGAGCCCTTCAATCTCTTATATGTAAGTTGGGAGTTTAAAAAAAAAGTACCTCCTTCATAGGATTGTTGTGAAGATTAAATGAAATAATGTAAAGTGCTTTATTAGCTCAGTGCCTAGCATACAGTAAACATCTAGTCATGTTAGCAATTATTAACATTTCATATGTCTAACTATGGATGATTTCTGGTTGAGCAAGTGATATTATGGCAAAAGAGGAATAGATGTTCTTCACTTGTATTCGGATAAAGACAAGAAATTATGATCCTGTGTCATTGTCTTACCAAGCAGCTAATTACTCCCCATCTTTAGATCAAGAGAGAGTAGTGTTATTCATTTTATCTTCTGTTTTCCTTAATATAAGGGTTTTATTTAAGTCCTTTTGGGTTTATGTTTAACTTAGACATCTGTAATCACATATGGATGGCTCCATAGAATTTACAGAACTCCTGTTTCTGGGTCAGATTCTACAGAACAGGTCAATTAAGAAAAGATGTAAAAATTTTCACCTCCCTTTCTAAATTTTTTTTTTCTTTTTAAATACTCACCTGAGGATATTTTTCCATTTATCTTCAGATAGAGTAGGGGTGAAAGAGACACATCGACTGGCTGCCTCCCGCAAGACCCCGACCAAGGGGGCCCAGGGACAAACTGAAACTGAGGTGCATGCCCTTGACTGGAATCAAACCCAAGACCCTTTGGTCCTCAGGCCGACGTTCTAACTGCTGAGCCGAACTGGCCAGACTAAATTTTTAATTAGAGACCAACTCTGTGTGTCGATTGAATCCAGGCAGCTGTTTCAGAAAGATGAGTATCTACATAAATTAATCTCTTGTTATTTAGCAAGATATACTAACCTTTTACCTTACATTGATGTACGTGTGATTAAATGTGCATATAATTTTCTTCATATGCAAATAAAGGATTTAATTTTCAAGTTGAATTTGATCCACCTAAACTCTGGTGGTTGCAAATTTTAGTTTTACTTCCATGCCATTGTACTGCCATCGCATCGTTGGTAGCATTTATAAAGCTTTAACTTTTTTTCAGTGATGGTAAGGGATTTTTTTTTAATCAGCCACACTTTCATTCCATGTGACCAACAATGTGTGCCACTGGGAAGTCATAATCCAGGACCACAAAATAAAGAGCATTGATTGTGCTATCTAGAGTGCGTCTGCCATGACTTTGGGAGCCTGAACTGCACCTGTGCTATAGCTAGATCGGCTGTGTATTTTGTTCTATCAGAAAAGCCTTTTATTGAGATTTATGTAAATAGAAGGGCATCATTTCCCTTATATCATATATAAGTTTGACTTCTGGTCTTTTTTTAATACTCAGGAATTTTCTAGGTAGCTTTGAGTTAAGTAAGGGCCCTTGTCCCCCCACTTAACCCTCCCCTTATGAAAGCACTATGTACATTTTAAAGAATACACTTAAATAAGCTTTAAAGCATAAGCAACACATTTATCTAAGAACAATATTACAGAACTCCAAAAACCAGGAAGTTAGTTCTTAAACTGTGTTTGTCAAAGAGAAACTGCCTCTGTCTCACAAAAGGAATAACTGAAGTATGCTTGGTTGTTTTCAGCTCACAACAAACCTACTACTTTTGTAGATGTATAGACTACTTTGTTTACAGGAAACCAAAGTGCCTGCAGCTGTAACTTTGCCTGGAGATAGGTAGACCATTTAGTCTTTATTTTTAAAATATTTTCATTTAGTAAAGCAGACAATTGCTGTGTTGGCAGAAGTATGAATTTCATTTCCTGTCTGTGGTGTACCCCACTCATCCTGTCACTCAGACATTTTGTTTTAGGTTGTTCCCGTAATATGAGTGAAACAGAGTGACCCATAGCATGGTGACATGTGCATACCACAAATGTAACAAAAGACAAGACTTGTGCAACAGACCACAAGATCAAAATGCTTTATTTAAAGATGAAAACAAAACAAAACAAAGGCAGCCCCTCCCAGCCAGCATACAAATTTTAGAGTGGAATCTGTGGATTCATGTTTGTTTTTAGAAGACATGTTCCAATCTATTTGGCAAGTTACCTCAAAGGTTTATCAGCTTTATGCCACTTGATTAAAGGATGAAATTGAGTCAATAACTGACAATTTTACAGAGGTGATTTAATTTAATTTGCCAATTAATTTACTCTCAGATACATACAAATATATATATATATATATATATATATATATATATATATATATATTTTTTTTATCCTCACCCGAGGACATTTCTCCATTTTTTTGTTCAGACAGAGTGGGAGGGAGAGAGAGGAAGAGAGAGAGAGGGAAACATCGACGTGAAAGGGACACATCAAGTGGCTGCCACCCACACGACCGACCAGGGCCGGGGACAAACTGCAACCGAGGTACATGCCCTTAGCGGGAACCGAACCCGGGTCTCTCCAGACCACAGGCCAACGCTCCAACCGCTGAGCCAAACCGGCCAGGGCAGATACTTATATTTTATAGTCCATTAATCTGCCATTTATATTGAATTCTGTAGCAATTATTTTTTACATGTGAGATTACAGAATATCTGTTTTCTTGTTTTAAATTACAATTCCTGCTGCAGTGATGAGACAGATATTACAGTGTGAAAGAAATTGTAGGATGAATGAATTTGTCCATCAAATATCTACCGAGTACCTAATATGTGGTTGGCACCATTTCCAGTGTTGAGGATACGGTGCTGACCAAAATAACCCCCTTGCTCTTCATGGAGTTTATATTCTGTTACAGGGAGATAACTGCAATCAAGTATACAAGTGAATAAATAAAAATTTAGTGAATGATAAATATCCTGAAGGAAACAAAACAGAACAAGATAGAGTATGATTGGGATGAGGGGGGGAGATGATGGTACTGGAGCTATGACTTAGTGGTGAGTCAGGAAAAACATGTCCAAAGTAGAAACAAAAGCATAAAGGCCCTGAGAAGGGGCCTGAAGTATAGAAAAAACAGAAGGCAGTGCAACTAAATCATAGTAAACAAAAGAGAAAATGGAACAAGATCAGAAAAGTAACTTACTGGCTATTACAGGGCCTTGAAGTCTAAGCTAAAGACTTCAACATTTATTTAAGTACAAAAGGAAGCCATTGGAGGGTTTTAAGCATGGAGATGACATATGATATATACCTATAAATTTAAAATATATAGATCTATGTATATATCTATTTAAAATATACATAGATCTATATATTTTAAATTACTCTGGTTGCTCTTTGGTAAGTAGATAGTAGCAGTGCAGAAGTGGTTGCAGACAGACCAGTTAAGAGGCTTTATGTTGATACAATGTCTGGGATTAGTTTCACTTCATGGCCAAGGAGAAGGATATAAAAGAAACAAGGTTGGCCATGAATTAGAGCTGAAATATATGAGAACATGGGGTTTTTTTTTACAATGATCTAAGTAAAAAATGACCATTCATTGTTAGTGTTGATGGAGTGAAGTGGGCAAATACAAGAATTATTTAAAAGTAAAGCTCATAGGTTTTTCTGATGGATTACATATATATTGTGGTAGGAAAAAAAGAAACCAACGATGACTGTTACATATTTGGCTCAAACAACTTGGGTGGATGAAGCTAGGGATCAGGTTTGCAGGGGACTCAAGAGATTAGCTTTGGCAATGTAAATTTGAGATGCCAGTTTTCCAAGTGGAAACGTTGAGTGGGCAGTATAATTTACAATACATTAGCTAACCCTGAGTAGCATACATACTTACAGGCAAACTTGGAACCCTCCGTTAGGTGTTTCTAAATTTTGCCATTAGTGATTTAAAATTCTATCCTTTTCAGTTTCTGTGGGTGACAATGAAAGGCTTAGTCTAGTGATATGAAATAATTTAGGTATATGTTCTGTTTTCTGTGGATATACACTAGCAATTGTATTTTGAATAGCCTCTATCCTGAAGAGTAATTCTCTGCTTCTGCTGAGATATCATTCACATTACAGATGAAGTTAACATGGAGGGCAAACTCCATGGGTTCAATACACTTCCTGTGTGCTACTTTTCAGTGCATATAGGGATATAGGTTGGGGAAAGAAAAATTTTGAGGAACGCTTTAGTTTGGTGTATATTTTAAACATAATTTTTTTTTTCAAACTTTGGATCTATTGTTAGTAACTAAATATTGTAGCATTCACATCTGATTAGAACACTATTGAAGCTCCATTATTGATAACCATAGGTCTAATAATAGTAACTGTTTACTAAAGGCACCACTCTAAGAAGCTGTATTCTTATTGACTCCTCACAACAACCTCATTTTGTTATCCCTATTTTATGGATAATGGAATTCAGGCCCAAAAAAATCATTCTGGCAAGAACAGAGCCAGGATTCAAATCCAGGCAGTCTGGTTCCAGAACCTAAAGGTTCTGTTTCCAGAGTCTTCACTCTTAACTGCTACCATGTAATACATATAGAATATATTAAGTTTTGTTTCATAAAAATTGTCTAGTGTAGACAGTACTGTGTGAGTAACCACAGTCTCTTTTGATTTGATTTTTACTTCATCCCATGAAGTTGGGACTTGGGAATAAGGAAGAGACAATAAGTCCAAAGTGACTCTCCATTTTAATCTTTGATTTGCTTTCTTAAGTAATTTATTTTATTTTATTTTTTTGTAGCATCAGCGAGAGCTTTCTAACTGTCAAAGGTGCTGCCCTTTTTCTACCACGGGGAAATGGCTCATCCACACCAAGAATCAGCCACAGACGCAACAAGCATGCAGGTAAAGCTCAACATAATCCATTCCTTTCTTGGTTTCTTTGATTCTTTTGTTCTAAAAGGCTGGCTATCTCACCCCCATTTCTCCAACAGTTCTGTGGTGGTGAAAGAAAGCATAGCACTGTGCTATAATCACTTTTCTTTAACTCTCAGGACATTTTTCCGGCATGAAGCAGAATGCCATGTACATCTAGTATGTTCAACAAATAATTTGTTGGAAAAATAATAAGGTACAAAATACTTTAATAAGTCTTATTAGTCTTATGTGATTTCTTCATTAAGGGTTTTTTTATCCTCACCCGAGGACATTTTTCCATTTTTTGTTCAGATAGAGTGGGAGGAGGAGAGAGGAAGAGAGAAAGAGAAAGAGAGAGAGAGAGAGAGAGAGAGAGAGAGAAACATCGACGTGAAAGGGACACATTGAGTAGTCGCCACCCACACGACCCAACCAAGGCCGGGGACAAACCACAACCGAGGTACATGCCCTTAGTGGGAACTGAACCCCGGTCTCTCTGGACCACAGGCGGACGCTCTAACCACTGAACCAAACCGGCCAGGGCTCAGTTAAGGTTTTTTTTTTCTTTTTTAATCCTCACTGAGGACATTTTTCCATATTTTGTTCAGAGAGAATAGGAGGGAGAGAGAGAAACACCGACGTGAAAGGGACACATCGAAGGGCTACCACCTGTACAATCCAACTAGGGCCAGGGACAAACTGCAACCAAGGTACATGCCCTTAGTGGGAACCGAAGCCGGGTCTCTCGGGACCTCAGGCCCATGCTCTAACCGCTGAGCCAAACCAGCCAGGGCTTAGTTAAGGTTTTGGTAGCTAAACGATGTTCAGATGTTTCCTTGAATCCTATGCAAAATAATTTCAACTAACCAAAAGATTACATTTCTTTTTCCTGTCTACTCTCTATTGATGTTATAAGGAAAATGATATGATTGATTCATAGAATAGAATAGAATAGAATAGAATAGAATAGAATAGAATAGAATAGAATAGATACTTAGGTAAATAAACTCAGTGTCACTGTTGTGATAACAAGAGTTATTTTTTTAAATATGTTTTCATTGAATTTTTAGAGAGAGAGGAGGAGAGACATAGAAACATTGATATGAGAAAGAAATACACATCGATGTGAAAGAGAAACATTGATTGGCTGCCTCCTACACACTCTCTACTGGGGATAGAACCTACAACCCAGGCATGTGCCCTGACCAGGAATCAAACCAGGGCCTCTCAGTCTATGAGACAACGCTCAATCCACTGAGTCACACTGGCAGGGCAACAAAAGTTATTATATCAATTGCAGTACCAGTTCTTAAGTACTAGAATGTACTTCTTTTTTCAAACTTCTTTTTTCAATCCTCACCCTTGGATATTTTTTATCTTCAGATAGATTAGGAGCAAGGGAGAGAGAGAGAGAGAGAGAGAGAGAGAGAGAGAGAAAGAGAGAGAGAGATAGAGAGAGAGAGATAGAGAGAAACATCAACGTGAGAGAGACACATCGATCAAACCACAACCGAGGTACATGCCCTTAGTGAGAACTGAACTCCGGTCTCTCTGGACCACAGGTGGACGCTCCAACCACTGAACCAAACCGGCCAGGGCTCAGTTAAGGTTTTTTCTTTTCTTTTTTAATCCTCTAACCAACCACACAACCCCGACCAGGGTATGTGCCCTTGACTGGAATTGAACCCGAGACTCTTTGGTCCACAGGCTGATGCTCTAACCGCTGAGCCAAACCAGCCAGGGCTAGAGTATACTTCTTAATTGTGTTTGCACTAAAAAGACTGGGAATTTAACTCAAATGACTCTTATAGAAACGGGAAGCCATCAAATGAAGGTCGCCTAGAAATGAATATAAGACTCTGATTTTGAATAACCTGCTAATATTCTGCATCTTGTTCCTATTTGAGATGTTTTTTCCTCCATACATCCAAGCAATTCTGGGACACCAGCAGGGTGTTCTACAATTCACCTGAATTCTGACACGGTCAGACAGTGGCATATCCCACAGGTTAAGGGCCCAGTTTTCCATGGCTCCTCACTCCCCACTTCAGATGTCAGTCATACGTCCAGGTTGTCTGTGGATTGAAGTTTCCAATGACCCCCTCCTTGGATTCGATTAATTTGCTAGAGTAGCTCACATAATTCAGAGAAACTTATTATAAAAGGATATAACTCAGGAATAGCCAGATAGAAGAAGTGCATAGAGCAAGGTATGTGGGAATGGGTACAGTGTTTCTAAGCCCTCTCCAAAGGTGCCACTTACCCCAAATATCCATGTGTTCACCAACCTGGAAGGTCTCTGAACCTAGTCCTCTGTTTTTTTATGGAGGCGTTATTATATAGCCATGATTGATAAAATGATTGGCCATTGCCAATCTAGTCAGCCTCCAGGCCCTGCCTCTCTCAGGCCCTTACCCTCTCCCCTGCCCCTGGCAACCAGCCTCCATCCTTGGGTACTTTCCAAAAGTTGTGTCATTAGCATAGCAAAAGACACCGTTATTGCTCTCCTCAACTTTAGAAATTCCAAGTGTTTTTGAAGCTCTTTGCCAGGAACAGGATGAAGACCAAATACATATTTCTTAAAAATCACAGTATACCACTAACAGTAGTATATGCATTTATATTTCCATATGTTGGATTTCTCTAAGGTCAGGTGCAATTGTGCTGATAAAGGTAAGAAAGAATAAGAGAAAGTGTGTCTAGGGAAAGTGTTCTCTAGGTATAGGATATCACTAGATTTAGGAAGATAATCAGCCTATGCCTTGTTTGTGTCATTTGAGGAGAAAAATAAAAGTCAACGTGAGAACAGTAATTGAAGAAATCCTCATCAGTGCTATACAAAGAGTGACTGCTTATTGTTATAAATGTGCCACTTTAATGTGTTACCTCTAGGAGTGGAATATATTGAACCACTAGCAAGAGACCAACGAAGACTGCAAACCTTGAGTGTGTAGGTCAGAGGTGAAAGCCAGAAATACTGGATCCCATGAGCCAGTGGTTGAGTTTAGCCCCGATCCAGATAATCTCAGCTATTTTAGTGAACCTTCATCTAGTTACAAATGTAGGAGCTCAGAATTATAAATTATCTCAATGGACAGTATTATCCTCCTACCACGATTCTCCAGTGTGGAAAATTTTTTAAAGAGTAAGGAAAAAAAACAAACACCTTTTTTGAAAAATTGGCTTTGGATTACACTTTCTAAAACCTTCCTCTTCAGTGCCCACCACCAGAGGGACAGATACTTCCCCCCAAAACTTGAATGCACAGAGGAAGTAGACCCAGATAAGCTTTGTATTTGTTTGGTGTGGATATTTATCATTTACAATAAAAGGAAGACAAATTATTGGTTTAAATTTAGCTTGTCTGACTAAAATGTCAGGCAGATTTTCTCTATGGCATGTAATAGTAAGAGAGTTCAGTGGCTTTCAAAGCTCCTGGCCCTGGTTGGCCTTTTTCTTTCATCAGACTGCCACCCAGGTTTCTATTTGACCTTGTTCACTTAGCTTTCCCCATACTAAAAAGAAAAGCAGATTTAACACAAACTGAATGGGCTTGATTTGTAATCCAGACCAGAACAGATGAGGCAGTGTGGGTGTAAACGCAGCTTACAAAACCAGACTTTTACATAAGCTAGAGCTGCCTTGGCTGAACTCATAGTGACTGAAAGATGATGGCAGAATTGAGAACAGATCAAGGGCTTACTATGGCTAATTGTACTTTTCTTATACATGTTTCTTAAACTAGTTAGAATTTCTTATCTGGGCTTTATTTAAAATATCCAAACTCTTTTTTGTCACTTTAGACTTAACAAAGGGCTGGAGCTAGGAATGAGGTTTTTCTTCTCTGATTGTATTAATTTATGATAGCACGTTATCTGATTATCTCCTACTATCTGAAGCCTCAGATTTCCTTGTACAGAATAGAGAATATGAGGAAATCCATAATAGTTTAATACAAAGAAATTTCAACTTTGTTTTACAGAATATATAAGAACAATTGAGAGTTCAAATAATGGTTGGCCATTTTAAGTAAGTGCAACTGAAGATTATAGTCACAGAAATAGGAATAGCAAGATTCCTTCATTGGTATCTTCTGTGGGCCTGAAAGCACAGCCAGTGCTGCCTTTGCCCAACAGGTTTCACACCTCAACTCTCATCATCATCCACCATAGTACAAAGCTGAGATTGGTTTCAAGTGCCCCTTTCATAGGACAAACACACAAACAAATGTTACTGTAGTATAGACTAAAAGTGACTATATAGAGTATTCTATATATTCTGTGTTTCCGCTTAAAAAGAAGTCAATAATCACACCCTGGCTTGTTTGGCTCAGCAGTTAGGGCATCGGCCCACAGACCAAAGAATTGAGGGTTTGATTCCGGTCAAGGGCATGTACCTCAGTTGCAGTTCAATCCCCGGCCCTGATATGGGTTGTGCAGGAGGCAGCCAATCGATATCTCCTCTCACATCAGTGTTTCTCTCTCTACCCACCCCCCTCCCTTCCACTCTATCTGAAGATAAATGGAAAAATATCTTCAAATGAAGATTAAAAAATAAAATAAAAAGAAGTCAATAATCATAGTAACACAATTTCTGTGTCAATTACTTCGGTGAACCAAAACTTTTATACAAGTCATTAGAATAGAAAGAATTCTCTATGTTGATATTAAAATGGTGAATAATTATTTTTTCTTTTGTAAATTTCACCAGGTGATCTCCAACAGCATCTCCAAGCAATGTTCATATTACTCCGCCCAGAAGATAACATCAGGCTGGTAAGTTAGTGATATCCTTAAAACTCTCTTCCTCGAAAAACTGTCTAATACAGCAAACTTTACTCAGTCATTTTTATGTCCTAACACGGTACGAGGAACCCTGGAAAGAAAAGAATGGCACGTCCTTATTATCAAAGAGCTTAGAATATAATTGAGGATATGAGCTAATATTAAGTGATATAAAATAATTTGATGGTTCAAGACTATTGGTGAACTCTAGTTTGTAAATTATTGACTATAACAGCAATTGAAGTTCAGAAAACAGGAAACTTGGAGACTTGACCTCATTGAGGAAGGTTTTATGTAAACAGTAGAGATTGAGCTGATTCTTGATTTAGATTGGCAGGAAGAAAGGAGATCATCATACTAGATGCGGACATGACTAATGCAAAAGCATGCATAGGAAGGGACAGGATGAGAGTGAAATGGCCAAGGTTTTGTTTGTGCTGGTCTCAGAGTTGGGAAACTTGGGCTTTAGTTTTTACTACTCATCTGATGTTGGACAAGTTACTTAGCCTGTGTCTGCTTTCTCATTTCATTTGTACCTCTCACAGTGTAGAGAATCAAATGGATATGAAAGCATAATGAGTATAAAATGCTACCTCATTATGGGGATTATTGTTACTATAAAGAAGATAAGATACCAGAAAGATACCACGTTTACCTACGCCACCATCTTGACTGGAAGTCCACTGTTATTTTTCTTATAGTAGAACATCTAATAAAAGTAGGAAAACACTCAGCTGGTGTGGCTCAGTGGTTGAGCATCGACCCATACACCAAGAGGTCACTGGTTCAATTCCCAGTCAGGGCACATGCCCAAGTTGTGGGCCTGATCCCCAGTTGGGGGCATGCAGGAGGCAGCCAATCAATGTTCTCTCTCATCGATGTTTCTATCTCTCTCTCCCTCTCCCTTCCTCTCTCTCTAAAGTCAATAAAGAAAAAAACATTTTTTAAAAAAGTAGGAAACAGCCCTGGCCAGTTTGGCTCAGGGGTTAAGAGCGTTTGCCCGCAGACCGAAGGGTTGTGGGTTTGATTCCCAGACAAGGGCATATACGTGGGTTGCAGGTTCAATCTATGGCCCTGGTCGGGGTTGTGTGGGAGGCAACCAATCAATGTTTCTCTCTCTCTATCTCTCCCTCCCTCCTTTCCACTCTATCTAAAAATCAGTGGAAAAATATCCTCAGGTGAGGATTACCAACAAAAAAGTTACCTTCGCCCTGGCCCGTTTGGCTCAGCGTTAGCGCGTCAGCCTGTGGTACACAGAGACCCGGGTTTGGTTCCTACTAAGGGCATGTACCTTGGTTGCAGTTTGTCCCCAGCCCTGGTTGGGGTCGTGTGGGTGGCAACTATTCAATGTGTCTCTCTCACATCAGTGTTTCTCTCTCTCTTTCTCCCGCTCTATTGGAAAGTAAATGCAAAAATGTCCTCAGGTGAGGATAAAAAACAAATTCATGTGGCCTACTTCACTCATTTATATTCCCTATTTGAACCTCTATATTAATACCTGAAGTAGTAACTCTATCTCCTCAGTAAGCAGTGGTGAAGCATTACAGGCTTCTGAGCCAAGGAATTACTGGGACAGCTACAGCATTTAAGAAAGATTCCTTAGAAGCTGACACAGAATAGAGGGGAGGAGGCAGCCATCTTAAATCAGGGAGGCCCGCTGTAATCCAGGTGTGTCGTGATGAACCTTCTAGGTTAGGCGGGTAACTTGGAAATTGGGTTTCCACACGTTAAATTCAAGTACTTTATCTCCACTTTCTCTCTGGGAAGAGAAATAATGAGTAGAATACAAGAATGACTAGAAAGTTGATGATCAGGCCTCTGAACTCTATGGCAATTAATGATTCTTCATTCACTTAATTATTCTTTGTTTAAATTCTGTCTTTTTTTTTCCCCTTTCTCTCTCTCTCAATTGCTGCCTCTATCACCTTGACTTGGCTCCTAATTTTTGTTGAGAAACTAACTTTGAAATTTAAAGGAATTGAAATAAGAAATCCTTTCATAATTATATTCTAATCCTAAAGTAGCATTATATACTTGTGTAAATCTTGTCTATATTTCTTGACATTTTTCTATCTTAAATAAATAAACAAAGTGGGGAGCACTTCTTATAGCATTAATATTCCAAAATAGTGATACTCCAACTTCAGAGTACTTCAGAATCACCTACAGAGCTTTGTTAAACTGCCACTTGCTGGATTCCACCTGAAGAGTTTGTTTTGGGGTTAGAGGCAATGATCATTTGCATTTTTTTAAACAAGTTTCCAAGTGATACTGATGTTGCTGGTCCAGGAAGTCACACTTGAGAACAACTCCTCTAAAACCCATAATAACAGTTACTTGTACATATCATATGTCCAGTAGATATTTCTTGATAGTTTCCAAAAGTGTGGTTTAGTAGAGTGAAAGCTAGCATCTATCGCTCATTCACTTTATCTTTCTTTCATTGATAACCTATGGAGTTCGGATTGTACCTCTAAATTTTAAAATAATTTTAACAACAAGAGACATGGGAGAACATTAAGGCAGCAATTAAAAAGGTAGAATTGGCAATTAAATTTTTTCTTTCCCTTCTAAAATATGCAGCTTCAGCTGCTTTGCATTTTTAAAAATATAAATTCAGAAAATGTGACTGACGCCTCTGAATTAATTCAGAGTTCAAATGACAAGCCATTTTACAGATGTTTGAATTGTTACAAACACATAGTCATTATGTTTCAGATTATTGTGTGAGTCATCTTCAAGAAAATGAGTGAATGCATTGTGTGCTTTGGACAAATTAGCACTTTTCTAACTGAAAGGAGCATTTGTAGACTCAAAGCAAAGCCTTTTGTTTTGAGTTAAATTTGGAATGCTAAAACTCTCATCCTGGGACTTGTGCATAAGGTTAAAAGTTTGATAGTCAACTGAAAGTCCTGCCTTTAATTTTTTAATAACTCAACAACAAATAGAGTTACCAACTCCCACATTTTGCTTGACCATTAAAAACAGGACTAAATCAATTTTTTCTCCAGAAAACCCTGAGTTCAAAATAATCTGAAGCACTAACTTGAGTACTTAAGAAAACCATAGCTGGTACAATGGTTTTATAGTACTATTGCACATTATCAAAGGCCCATTTATTTAATAAAAAATAGACTGGAAAACTAAGGACTTTCCTGACATTTGAAGTAACATGAAACTAATATTTTTAACTAGATCTGAGGTGCTAATAAGGTATGAGGAAGTGTTTTTGAGTACTTTGCGAGAGAGTTTAAGAAAAGGGAGTTTTTTATAAAACAATTTTTTTCCAAAAAGAAAATGGGGATTTTTTTCTAAGTATAAATGTATTGTTGTTGTTTTTTTAATCAGACAATACTGAAAAGCATAAAGAACAAAAATAAAAGTCACTTTGTGTCCTGCACTCTGAAAAAACCTTTCTTAGCTATTTGAATAAGTAGCCTTCGTGTGTGTGTATGTGTGTGTGAGCATATGTGTCTGATTTTCTGATATCTGCTTTTACTAAAATGGACAGTGATGAAAATAGCCAAATCTACATCAGAAGACCTTCTAGTCTACAAAGCATGATCTCTAGTTCTGAGAAGCAAAAGTATAAAGTAATTTATAACAATAAGGGCTATGCTGTCTATATGTGTGTTTATAAAGGTAACAGTGGATAACTGAGGACTTGTCAATGGATAAATGAGATTGGAGGGGTGTGTAAAAAAAGGCTAGGTAGTTCTAAGCAAAAGTATGTGTCAGAGAGAGTGCTTTTTTTTTTTTTAAACAAAAATGAGTTGAAAATATGAGTGCTGTTTATAACCTGCTTTCTTTACACTTGATCATGGATCTTTTTCCATGTCAATAGCTACACAGAATGTGTCAGATTTTTTTTTTTTTTCAAGAATTTCATAAAGATCGATTTTAAAAAATAATATCTAGAGACTTCCTCAAGCTTTATTTCTTTTGAAGACAGTGTTCTTTAGTTTACTAGTGTCACATGAAGTCTCCTTTAATTTTAGATATTAACTTTGCTTGCTTCTTTTGACTAGAATTTAATATTTATATACTTTTAATATCTTTCTCTGATGGATTGGTGAGCTACCTGTCTAGACGTTGGGACTTTATAATGTGGCTTCCCTGCAGATAAACATTGCATGCAGGGACATGATGTTAGACTCTTGGTAGAAAAAAATTAAAGGCAAAGTTACAGTGTAAGCTTAGGAAGGAGTATTTCCTGATGTTGGATGATGAGGAGAGAAGTTATTGGATCAAATGGTATTTGTGAACTGCTTGTAATCGGGTGCTTTTAAATTAGTTACTGAGGGAAGTTTTAACATCACTCTTTGGTAGAAAAACTTTGAAAACGGATTGGGTTCTTACCTCAGAAGTAAAGCAAAAGCAGGAAATTACTTTTTAGACCTTCCTCAGTCTTAGGATTGCTGGATCCAGTTCACCTGCAACTTTTCATAGGATTTCAAATTTAGGAAGTAAATGGACTTTCTTGGAATAATTTTCTCAGTTGCTATTGCTGCTAAGTTTTAAAATCTAAAATATTGTTTTGTGTGGACAATTAGAATAAACTGCAGTAGTATTCTTTTCAGTAAGAACTTTAGTTAATCAGATACATCTGAGTCATTGTCTTATTTCAATCATTTATTCCATGTAAGTTCTGGAGACTAAAAACATTGGAATTGCTGCCAGTTCTAATATTAGGTATTATGTACAAACTGCCACTTTAAATTATATTTCTTTGATTGGTTTAATGAATTTAGTTAGATTATTAGGTTTTGTTAATCTTCTCCCCCAGAAAAGGAATATGAAATGAATCTCAAACCAGGGTGGATATTTAATTTTTTTTTTTTTTTAATGCTATGACTGTTAAAATTTTAATTTCTTAACCTAGACTCTTGAAGCTTAAAAGGAATTTTGGGACCCTGAGGTCAATCCCCTGACATTGCAGAATTCTTTCTGTAAAAAATTTTATCTTATTCTTCTGATTAGGATATAAGTGTTGAATTAATGTCATGGCTCCTGAACCCCTGATTAAATAAAGCTCCATTTCCCGATAGTAAGAATTTGGTAATTACTATAGATACTGTCTAGAGGTCCATAATCAACTCCCAAGAGCTCTAAGTGCTATTCTTCCATCTAAGAAGCTTAAAATTCAGTGAATCTGAGATGTGCCAGTTACTCCAGCGTAAGTCAGTATGAAATGACTGGGGCCTTTCCCATTAGGTTTGAGATGTTCTGTTGAGATTAGATTAATCAGGAGGGAGCCAAACATTTGAAATGTCTTTTTTTTAATCCTCCTCTGAGAACACTTTTCGATATTTTGTTCAGATAGAGTGGGAGGGAGAGAGAGAGAGAAATATTGATGTGAAAGGTACACATCGAGTGGCTGCCTCCCACACGACCCATCCAGGCCATGGGACAAACTGCAACCGAGATACGTGCCCTTAGCGGGAACCGAACCCGGGTCTCTCTGGACTGCAGGCTGACGCTCCAACTGCTGAGCCAAACCGGCCAGGGCTGAAATGCTTTTTATATGATTGATTGATAGATAGATAGATCACACACACTGCACTTTTTAAAAAGCAACAACTAGTGTTTCACTGAATATTACAAAGAAACTCTTCCTGCCCATCTGCTAAATTGGCCTGATAACTTGCATGGTAGTTAATACTTATGGAGGTTATTTTCTTTCTTTTTATTAGCTTCAGCTTAGCTAATCAGTTGCCACTAGTTGGTGTAGAAGTTGTGGATAAATGATCAGAACCACAATTTAGTTGTTCCCATACCATTTGTATTTTAGCCTTGCCAGAAATTCTCAGGCTTGACAGAGGATAAAAGAGCCTCTAACATATTCAGGAAACTGACATTTGGCTCAAAGCTTGCCAAGGCAAGTCCAAGTTTAGATATATAATAATATCTGAGATCTTGTTTATAAGAAATTCTAGTTTATCTGCACTGGGTTTCTGGTTAGTTTAATATTTTGTGGAGCATTTCTAGAATCAGAGTCAGTAATGCCTCCCAGTCATCATGTTGCATGTATTCCTGTCCATACTCTATGTGTATAATGCTCACTTGGTCCCAGCCCACTAGAGCCAGATCTTCATCAACTTAAATATTAGTTCCTCAGCCCAGCCTGTGTGGCTCAATGGATTAAGCATCATCCCATGGACTGAGAGGTCCCAGTTCGATTCCCAGTCAGGGCATATGCCTGGGTTGCAGGCTCAATCCCCAGTAGGGGACGTGCAGGAGGTAGCTGATAGATATTTCTCTCTCACATCAATGTTTCTATCTCACTCTCCCTTCCTCCGTCTGTAAAAAAATCAATGAGAAACACTTCTAAAAATTAGTTCCTCTTAGCTTGTCACAAGTGAATTTGGGTTGAAAATGCTCTATTACTTCATAGAACATAAAGCCAGCAGTGCAGCTCTCTTTCTTGTGCACTTGGAATCAGAATGGTGAACATTGCATTCTTGCATCACCTCTTATTAGAAACAAGCTTGCTTGCCTGCCTGCCTGCCTGCCTTCCTTCCTTCCTTTCTTCTCCTCACCCGAGGACATTTTTTGATATTTTGTTCAGATAGAGTGGGAGGAGGGGGGGGGGGGGGGAGAGAGAAACATCAATGTGAAAGGGACACATCGAGTGGTCGCCACCCACACAACCCAGTCAGGGCCGGGGACAAACTGCAACCGAGGTACGTGCCCTTAGCAGGAACCGAACCTGGGTCTCTCCAGACCGCAGGCCAACGCTCTAACCGCTGAGCCAAACTGGCCAGGGCGAAACAAGCTTTAATGTAGCCACTTCTGCTGTTTGTGCTGCCTTGGCTTTTCTTGTGAATATCAGAAGAGAGACAAAAAGATATCCATGAGATTCTCACCTGTGCCTTGATAGATGGGTCATTTGACTATGTAACTATGTCTCTTTTTCTCTTCTTGGCCGCTTTTGGAACCATGATAGAGTTAGGGGAAGGAGACTCTCCAAAAACAGCAGCACTGAAAGAATTCCAGATAGAATTTTTTTACAAGTGTCTTGAGCCACTTAGTGGGTTTGTAACTCTATTTCTCTTCTGAGATAATGAATGGGGGGCTATTTTTAAAAAATATTTTTTAGCTTTGGCCGGTTTGGCTCAGCGGTTGGAGCGTCGGCCTGCGGTACAGAGAGACCCGGGTTCGGTTCCCGCTGAGGGCATGTACCTCAGTTGCAGTTTGTCCCCGGCCCTGGTTGGTCGTGCGGGTGGCAGCCACTCAATGTGTACCTTCACATCGATGTTTCTCTCTCTCTCTCTCTTCCTCTCTCTCCCTCCCGCTCTATCTGAACAAAAAATGGAAAAATGTCCTCGGGTGAGGATAAAAAAATAAAAATAATAATATTTTTTATTGATTTTTTGTTTTTGAGGAAGAGAGAGATAGAAACATAGATGAGAGAGACACATTGATTGGCTGCCTCTTGCACACCCCCAATGGGGATCAAGCCCACAACCCAGGCATGTGCCCCAACTGGAAATCAAACCGGCAACTTCTTGGTCAATGGATCAACACTCAGCCACTGAGCCACACCAGCTGGGCGCCCGGGCAGGGCTATTTTATACAGAAGAAATTGCCTCTAGTGTACAATTTCCTGGCTTTTTGTTAATAGAGAAAAAGAAGAATAGACTGACTAAACTGTACACTTTGTGAGAGTAGGGACCATATCTCTCTTTTTTTTCCACCTTTGAATCCTCAGCACTTCTTCTGTGATTGTATACACAATAGATATATAGTAAATATTTGAATGAATGTTGAGTGGAAGCTATTTTACTTTATTTTTAAGGTTTTTAAAGTATCTCTTTGAGCTTCTTAAGAAAATTCCCACCTGGCTGGTGTGGCTCAATGGTGGAGCATCCACCCACGCACCAAGAGGTTGCCAGTTTGATACCTGGTCAGGGCACCTGCCCAGGTTCTGGGCCCAATTCCCAGTGGGGGGCATGCAGGAGGCAGCCAATCAATTTTCTCTCATCGATGTTTCTGTCTCTCCCTTCCTCTCTCTAAAATCAATAAAGGGAAAAAAAGAAAAGAAGAGAAAATTCCCAAACATATAAAGTACAAAATATATCCTCATGATCCCATTACCCAGCTTTAATAACCATCAACAGTTTGCCAGATTTCTTTCACCTATCTCCACTCCTTTTTTTTAAAACCACTTTATTGAGGATAATTGGCATACAAAAAGTCGTGCATATTTAACTTATACAACTTGATAAATTTGTAGATAAGTAAAGATCCATGAAACCATTACCAGTCTTTGCCAAAATATATGTATTAGCTCCAGAAATTTCCTTCAACTCTGTCCTGTCTGATGATGATGATGATGACGACGACGATGATGATGATGATTAGAACACTTAACATAAGATCTACCCTCTGTGCAAAATTTTCTTTTTTTTTTTTTTTTTTTATCCTCACCCGAGGATATTTTTCCATTTTTTGTACAGATAGAGTGGGAGGGAGAGAGAGGAAGGGAGAGAGAGAGAGAGAAACATCGATGTGAAGGGACACATCGAGTGGCTGCCACCCGCACGACCAACCAGGGCCGGGGACAAACTGCAACCGAAGCACGTGCCCTTAGCAGGAACCGAACCCGGGTCTCTCAGGACCGCAGGCCGACGCTCTAACCGCTGAGCCAAACTGGCCAGGGCTGTGCAAAATTTTCAAAATAGACTTTTTTTTTTTAATCCTCACCTGAGGATATTTTTTTTCCCATTTATCTTCAGATAGAGAGGGAGGGAGGGAGGGAGGGAGTGAGGAAGGGAGGGAGGGAGGGAGGGAGAGAGAGAGAGAGAGAGAGAGAGAGAGAGAGAGAGAGAGAGAGACTGGTTGTCCTCCTGCAGGATCCCAACCACAGCCAGGGACAAACCGCAACGGAGATATGTGCCCTTGACCGTAATTGAACCTGCGACTCTGGTTCGCAGACCAGTGCTCTAACTGCTAAGCCAAACTGGCCAGGGCTAGACTATTTTTTATTTTTTTTTTTATTTTTTTATTTTTTATTTTTTTTTATCCTCATCCGAGGACATTTTTCCATTTTTTGTACAGACAGAGTGGGAGGGAGAGAGAGGAAGAGAGAGAGAGGGAAACATCGATGTGAAAGGGACACATCGAGTGGCTGCCACCCGCACGACCAACCAGGGCCAGGGACAAACTGCAACCGAGGTACATGCCCTTAGCGGGAACCGAACCCGGGTCTCTCCGGACCGCAGGCAGACGCTCTAACCGCTGAGCCAAACCGGCCAGGGCATTTTTTTTTTTTTTTTATCCTCACCCGAGGACATTTTTCCATTTTTTGTTCAGATAGAGCGGGAGGGAGAGAGAGGAAGAGAGAGAGAGAGAGAAACATCGATGTGAAGGGACACATCGAGTGGCTGCCACCCGCACGACCAACCAGGGCCGGGGACAAACTAGACTATTTTTTAGAGCAGATTTAGGTTCACAGAATTGAGCAGAAGTTACAGCAGGTCCTCAAGTAATATCGTTTCATTCTACTTTGTTTTCTGTTATAACATTGATGAGATGACATAGGAATGTAATTCTTCTTCTTTTTTTTTTTTAATCCTCACCCGAAGACATTTTTTCATTTTTTGTTCAGGTAGAGTGGGAGGGAGAGAGAGGAACAGAGAGAGAAAGATAGAAACATCGATGTGAAAGGGACACATCGAGTGGCTGCCACCCACACAACCAACCAGGGCCAGGGACAAACTGCAACCGAGGTACATGCCCTTAGCGGGAACCGAACCCGGGTCTCTCCGGACCGCGGGCAGACACTCTAACCGCTGAGCCAAACCGGCCAGGGCATTTTATTTATTTATTTATTTTTTTATCCTCACCCGAGGACATTTTTCCATTTTTTGTTCAGATAGAGCGGGAGGGAGAGAGAGAAACATCGACGTGAAGGGACACATCGAGTGGCTGCCACCCGCACGACCAACCAGGGCCGGGGACAAACTAGACTATTTTTTAGAGCAGATTTAGCAGAAGTTACAGCAGGTCCTCAAGTAATATCGTTTCATTCTACTTTGTTTTCTGTTATAACATTGATGAGATGACATAGGAATGTAATTCTTCTTCTTTTTTTTTTAATCCTCACCCGAAGACATTTTTTCATTTTTTGTTCAGGTAGAGTGGGAGGGAGAGAGAGGAACAGAGAGAGAGAGAGAGAGAGAAACATCGATGTGAAAGGGACACATCGAGTGGCTGCCACCCGCACAACCGACCAGGGCCGGGGACAAACTGCAACCGAGGTACATGCCCTTAGCGGGAACCGAACCCGGGTCTCTCAGGACCGCAGGCCGACGCTCTAACCGCTGAGCCAAACCGGCCAGGGCAGGAATGTAATTCTTGTTTCTATCCATTAGCCTATGGTGAAATTGGTTTCATTATATATAGTTTTGCTTAAAGTCGCAGAACCTATTGATGATGTTAAGTGAGGACTTACTGTACGATATTTCTTACATACCCTCTTTCTCCACTCATGTATAGTCTCCCCCATTATATCTATCCCCCGCCAGGGTTGTACATTTGTTACAATTCATAGACCTCAATACATTGTTATCAACTCAGTGCCCATAGTTTACATTAGGGTTTACTCTTGACGTTGTACATTCTATGGGTTTTAACAATGAGATGTATCCACTACTTTAGTATTATACAGGTAGTTTCACTGCCCTAAAAAACTGTGCTCTCCAACCCCTCACAATTAATGATCATTTTACTGACTCTAGAGTTTTGCCTTTTCTTGAATGTCATATAATTGGAATAATACAGTACCTAGCCTCTTCAGATTGGCTTCTTTTACTAAGTAATATGCGCTTAAGATTTCTCCATGTCTTTTCATGACTTAAAGCTCATTTCTTTTAGTGTTGAATAATGTTCTGTTGTCTGGATGTACCACTGATGGTCTGTGTAGCTACTGAAGAACATCTTAGTTGCTTCCCATTATTGGAATATTTTAAAGTAAAACTTGGACACCATATCATTTCATTTTAGATACTTAAGAAAGCAGGATTACTACAATGCCATTATCACACTAACAGTAAATCCTTGATTTCATCTAAGACCCTATCTATATTCAAATTTTCTGAAGGCCCTTTTAAAATATCATAAATATGCAATAAATAAAAACTTTTTTTCCTTTAATCTTCACCTGAGGATATTTTTCCATTTATCTTCAGGTAGAGTGGGAGGGAAAGAAGGGGGGTAGGAAGAGGGAGACACACACACATCGATTGGTTGCCTCCCACGTGACCCCAACCAGGGCCAGGGACCAAACAGCAACTGAGGTATGTGCCCTTGACAGGAATCGAACCCATGACTCTTTGGTCCACAGGCTAAGGCTCTAACCGCCGAACCAGACCAGCCATGGCTAAATAAAAACTTTTTGTTTCTTCAATTGTTATTGAAAGTAAAGAAAAAAATTTTGTAGTGTATAATCTGTAAGAATTCAATAGAGCAACTCTTCGTAGATATTAATAGTTTGCTTTGTGTTATTGCTCTGGCTGGTTTAGCTGAGCAGTTAGAGTGTTAGCCCATGGACCGAAGGGATGCAGGTTTGACTCCTAATCAGGGCACATACCTGGGTTGCAGGTTCAATCCCTAGTCCCGGTTGTGGTGGTATGGGAGGTAGCCAATCGCTGTGTCTCTTTCTCATTGATGTTTCTCTTTCTCTGTCTCTGTCTCTCTCTCTCTCTCCCTCCCCCCTTCTCCCTCGCCTTCACACTATCTAAAAATTAATGGAAAAATATCCTCAAGTGAGGATTAACCAAAACATGACCTGGTAATTATTATTTAAATTGTGCTAATTGCAGACATTTATGAGCATTTATTTACTGTATGCCAAGCACTGCGCTTTACATGTATTATTTTATATAGGTCGTGAGAATCATATAAAATAATATCTCCAATTAATTTAGTAATTTTTATAGGTTTTATTTTATTTATTTTTTTTTGGACATTTTTCTATTTTTTGTTCAGATAGAGTGGGGAGGGAGAGAGAGAGAGAGAAACATCGACGTGAAAGGGACACATCTAGTGGTTGCCACCCGCACGACCCAACCAGGGCCAGGACAAACTGTAACCGAGGCACATGCCCTTACAGGGAACCGAACCCAGGTCTCTCTGGACCAAAGGCCGACGCTCTACTGCTGAGCCAAACTGGCCAGGGCTTATAGGTTTTATAGTTAATAATGAGTTAATAATGAATTTGAATCTCCTAACTACTGGCTTTGCTATCTCCTTGAGTATGCTTTAAGATGCTGATGTGAGCCCTGGCCAGTTTGGCTCAGCAGTTAGAACATCGGCCCATGGACCACAGAATCGTGGGTTCAATTCGATGAACGGCACGTACCTCAGTTGCTGTGTGATCCCTGGCCCTGGTCAGGGTCATGCGGGAGGCAACCATTTGATGTGTCTCTCTCACATCGATGTTTCTCTCTCTTCCTCCCTCCCTCACACCCTGAAAACCAATGGAAAAATATCCTCAGGTGAGGGTTTAAAAAAAAAAAAAAGATGCTGATGTGAAAGGGTTGAATGATCTAAAATTGACCTTATAAATTTTATAATTTCTTTGTTGTCTGTTAACCTCCAGGCTGTAAGACTAGAAAGTACTTACCAGAATCGAACACGCTATATGGTAGTGGTTTCAACCAATGGCAGACAAGACACTGAAGAAAGCATCGTTCTAGGAATGGATTTCTCCTCTAATGACAGGTATGGTACCACAAAGGGAGGATAAGAAGAATCCTTGTTAAATAACTTATTCCAGTTGCTTTTTGAATTATTGCAAAACATCTTATGCAGTGCTACTCTTAAAGTTAAATGCCTGAACTAGAGAACACAAAAATATCTAAGTACACAGTCTTGAGAGATGAAAATGTTTAATGAATGTCTTTGGTCATGTATTTCTAATTTACACTATTCCTTAACTTCTTATTTTTAGGTGGTGATGATATAAAGCAAATGGTTTAAACTTATATCTTCGGCGGGGAGCTGCCTTTTCTTTGCAGTCGACTTTATTTTAAGCACTAATGATTCATTTTGGTGATTCTAGAGCACACACCCTTTGTGACACTACACCAATGAGTTCTGGGTTCAAAGAGAGCCCACTTTGACTTCAGTCTCTTGTATTTATCCATGGCCTTACACCTTGATTTTATCAAATGTTTTGCTTCCTTTTTTCTTAAACTCAAAACAGAAACTTTTATATTTATGCACCTTTGGCTTTAGTGGCACTTTGCATCCTATGATTAAAAATATCAGACATCACACAACACCTGGCTTTATTGTGTCCTTAAGGTTTATTGCCGCGCGCCCCCCCCCCCCCAACCTCCCTCCACACACACACTTTTTCTGGAGAAACCTTGGGAAGATTGTGGAATGTGGCTGCTAAGCAGATCTTTGCACTCTAGATAATAAGCCTCAGGAAATCCTGCCAGATGTCTCAAAGCATTGACTTCCTGGCTCAGGACTAGAATGGAACTGTGGAATAGCTAGGGGTGTGACCCAGGCCTGGGAGAATTTAGCCACAAAGAGAAGAGGAGACTGGGAGTGATTCTACTTGTCCTGATGTGGGGGGAGGGGTCACATTGTCACAAGAAAGTTTCCCAAACTATATTTACCTGAGCTTGTACATAGCAGTCAACCTGAAAATGATTTATGGGTTCACAAAGATCACAAGGCCAGAGTTGTTGCATTGTATACCACTTACAGCCTTTAATTGTATGCTCTGAAATTACACAAGTTTGTAAGCCACATTTAGGAAGCTGTTCCTCCTGCACGGTTTTAACCTCTCGTGTTAGCTAAGCAACAGACCTTTCAGTCCTGTAAGAGCACCTACCTTGCCTACATCCATTAGTATTTTAAGACCTATGATTTGGGTTTTTATATCTCTAGGTCTATACAGTAGCTACTAACCACATGTGACTGTTTAATAAAATTAAAATTTCAATCCTTAGTTACAACTAGCCACATTTCAAGTACTCTAGCTATAGCCCTGGCCGATTTGGCTCAGCGGTTAGAGCGTCGGCCTGCGGTCCGGAGAGACCCGGGTTCGGTTCCCGCTAAGGGCACGTACTTCGGTTGCAGTTTGTCCCCGGCCCTGGTTGGTCGTGCGGGTGGCAGCCACTTGATGTGTCCCTTCACATCGATGTTTCTCTCACTCTCTCTCTGTTCCTCTCTCTCCCTCCCACTCTATCTGTACAAAAAATGGAAAAATATCCTCGGATGAGGATAAAAAAAAAAAAGTAGCTATATGTGGCTACCATATGGGATAGTACATGTATAGAACATTTCCATCATTGCAGAAAGTTCTGTTGGACAGCACTGTTCTATATCTTATTTCCTTTGCTTCATTTGTCCTGACTCCTCCTTTGGAACCCCCCATAAAACAGTAACTTGGGCTATATGGAAATTTCACTTGATGCTTCCCCTAGAGAGAGAAGGCAACAACTTCAGATTCTTCTGACCCAGCGTGTGAAAAATAAGATGTCTAATCTTATCTCTTTTACTTTATCTAAACATACTCAGAAATCATAAAGACTGCTTATTAATATGGGTGCCCAGTAATGTATCCTCAGTGAACTACATCTATCTTCAGTAATAGTCCTGCCTGAATCAAATCTAGCAAAATAAATTCTTAGTTTATGGGAGACAATATATGATATGAAAAGCTATAGAAACTGGTTTTTACTCTGTTTGGTAAGCTTGGTTTTATGAATTCCCATATATCCTCTGTCTGAATGAGCTCCTTGGACAGTAAGAGAAATGCTGCCTACTGGAGAATAACTGTACTCAAGTAATCTAGTATCATTTTTATCTCAATTGCTGTTGAAGGAATTTGTATTATTTTGTATCTCACAATAGAAAAAGTTAATGTTTCAGAACAGTATTAAACCAAAGTAGAACACAGACTGCTTATGACATAATCTTTCCGAGTAGTTCTCGAAATATGTTATAGCACTTCTTTTAGCCTATTTACAAGTTCTTTGAGTATTGTGTCATATTTTAAGCAGTAAATATTTTAATACACAGCATAACCTTGGTTTCCAAATTGCATTAGATATATTTCAAGTTATAAAATAATAGAGCTTTATAGTGTTGTTTTATTACTTTTCTTTGTACCCCCAACACCTTGAAATGTTTGGTACATGTAAGCAGTTAATAAATTGTAGTGAGGCTCTGGCCGGTTTGGCTCAGTGGTTAGAGCATTGGCCCACGGACCAGAGAGTTCTGGGTTCGGTTACCACTAAGCACACATGCCTCGGTTTCAGTTTGTTCCCACCCGGTTGGGGTCGTGTGGGTGGCAACCACTTGATGTGTCTCTCTTACATCAATGTTTCTCTCTCTTCCCCCTTCTCTCCCTCCTGCTCTATCTGAAGATACATGCAAAAATGTCCTCGGGTGAGGATAAAAAAATAAAATAAATAAATTGGAGTGAGTATTCAACAAAATAAGTAACTATAGTGGAGAAAAATCTCATGAGATTCAAGGTAAACTGGATAAAAATATAGATGTTCCTAATTCAGGCCTCTCTTCCCTGTTGTGTGAAAAAAAATTGTATTTCTTACCATAAAAAAGCATTCTAGCCTGAATACAAGTTGAAAACATGATGTTTTGTATATACATATCATTGTCACCTGTTAAAATTTAGCTGGTGTTTGGTCACAAGCTCATCTTCTATATCTTCTTCTGTAGTTGCTTAATATCTAGATTTGTTACTAGGTTATCAACCCTTCATATATATATTCAGATTGTAGTTGTTATACTAGGAACGTGGCTAAGCACTTACCAAAAACAAAAACTAAAAACTAAAAATAATTACAATCCACCTTGGGAAATGATTTTTGAAACAAAATTTTCTTGCTCTCATCTACTTAAAAAATAGTGGTGGAGCTGTCTTCCTCCCTCTGAAACTCTGGCATGATAACTGTACATCTGGAGTTCAGGGCCAGGGTTCCACTGCGGATAAACTGTTTCAATCTTCATTTGAATCTTCTGAACTCTGGAATCACTGGTGGAGTGTTGAGTAACATAGGCCAGCAAGTGCAGTGGAAATCATTAGACACAACTCAGCTAGGCCGTGACCTTCGTTAGCCCTGCAGTGACTCCAACAGTTAAAGCTTGGTATTCCTCGTGTTGTTTTTAATACATTTTCATATCCACCTCCCCCATCCCGCCCCAAGTCACTTTCAGTTGTGTTAGAACACCCAGTACAGATTCATAGCCAACATTTGTTTTACATATCAGTACATTAATATATATTGTTTCACTTTAAATATTTTAGATTTTCATAATAATCCCAAAATTAAGGCTAAGAGAGGTTAAATAATTTGTCAAAAGGAATTGAAGTACTGAAGGAAAGCAAATCCAGATCTTTTGGCATAGTATAACTGCTCAATAAGTAGTAGTTGTTGCACATTTTTTATAGCGTGTTGTTTAATTTAATCTTCAAAACAGCCCATCATAGAAGGTTTTTCTATCCCAATTTTACAGATGAGGAAACTGGAGCACAAAGCAATTAAATAATTCATCTAAGATTATATATTCAATTAGTGCAAGAATTCGGGTTCCAGAGCCCATCTGACTCCAGAGTCTGTGCTTTATTATTATTATTATTATCATCATCATCATCATCATCATCATCATTATTTTATTTTTTCATCACCATTCATTCCCTCTATGCCTCTTCCACTTCTGTCCCCACCTGAAATCACCACACTGTTATTCATGTCCATGAGGTCTCTCTCTCTTTCTTTTTTGCTCAATCCTTCCATACCCGCCAGAGCTGTCTGCCTGCTCTCTATGAGTCTGTCTGTTTTGCTTGGTAGTTCAGTTTGTTTATTAAATTCCACATGAGTGAAATGTGGTACTTGTCTTATTCTGACTGGCTTATTTCACTTGGTATAATGTTCTCCGGGTCCATCCGTGCTTTTTCAAGGGTAAAATTTTCTTCCTTTTATGGCAGAGTAGTATTCCATTGTGTAAATATACCACAGCTTTTTTTATCCACTCATATACTGATGGATACTTGGGCTGTTTTCAAATCTCACAGAGCCTTTGCTCTTAACCATACTTCGCTGTTCTGCCATCCACATCCAAGGTTCTTTCTGCTGTACCATGCTATTTTTCTAGATATATTGGCAGGGAAAGGGTATAGAAGGCTGGATAGAGAGGGGAGATGGTTTATGGCAGGGTTAAGGAGAAAAAGTAGCAGAGGTCTGGGGTAGATTACAGTTGTCCAAAGAAGTGGTGTGATAGTACACACACTTGGGAGTCTATAGCTTCCTATCTCTACCTGTTCTATTAACTTAAAGCTAGTTTCCTCCTTGTGTGATTTAAATAATATTTTAATTCACTATACTAGGGCTACCCTGTTGTTGGTTGTTGACATTTCTGTTCACTCTGCATTTCAGCGGTGCTAGTTCAATGCACAGTCACCAAGCACTGTTGTATTTATTTGAGTTGGGTCTCTTGTCTCGCTTAATGTGATCACAAGTCATTAGCAATTACTTTTTTGTATATTTTAATTTCCTTTCCCATTTAGACTACTGAGTGTATTCAAGGGTTCAGTAAATCTCAGAATTAGAATTGAGTGAATCACATAGTAGGAGGTCTTTAGCAACCAGCAGTGGTTTCTAGCATTAGAAATAATTCTTGAAGTTGAGTCGGGTTCTGTGTGACTTCGGGCTGATACCTGCCAATCACAAATCAGCAGCAATCACCTGGATTTTTTAGTCTGGCCATTTGCAAGACAGCAATATAGGGAGCTCAGTCAGTGTTTGTTAAATATTTAAGGACCTAAATAACCACCTGTTTAAAACAGCTTCTAAGCATATAGGTTGGATTAATAATAATATGATAGAAATTCATCTACTCTACTACTTATGCTAGAATTTAGAGTTTAGGGGCTTACCCTTTGTGTTGAAAGAGTTAATAAAAAGAACTGCTGCTTAGAATAACAGAGAATAACTTATGGACTATTTCTTGTCTTGCAGTAGCACTTGTACCATGGGCTTAGTCCTGCCTCTCTGGAGTGACACCCTAATTCATTTGGATGGTGATGGGTAAGAGCTTTCCCTTTTTATCTTCCTACAGAAAGCCAAGGGGTGGGGTTCCATCTTAGTGCCCATTCATTCAGCTGAATGGAAGGCCCACTGTGCCAACTGAACTGTCATGTCAGCAGCTCAATGAGTCCTTTTAAACTCCTGTTTTGTAAAGTGGAGTGAAAATGCAACTTGCCAAGGCCTCTCACTTCTGTTCTCCTAAGCCAACTGTGGTAAGAATCCAAACAAAGAAGAACTAGTTTGTTGGCTCACTCTTTAATCTGAGCATGTGGGACTGTTGCAATGCTCTCCCAGAGGATGATATGTTCTGTTTCAAATAACCCCTTGCTGCCTCTGCCAGCTGTCAGCCTGCAGTACAACCCCTTTTCTGTGCCAGTTCCTTCCAGTGACCCTCCACCCCTACCCCTGGTGTTTTTAGAATGTGTCCCCAAGAGACCAAGATGTTTGCTTCAGTTTATAAAACAGGGTCAGGTTTGCTACATACCCATAAGACTCCAAAAAGAAATATACAGCAGAACAGTTTGTCCTTAGCTACAGCTGGGAAACTATGTAATTCCCTAATTCCAACGTGGGAGTCCATTCATTCTGCTTAGGAGATAAAATCAGACAATATGTTGAAGATTTTCAGTCATGTCCTATACTCTAGTTACTAAGTGTCTACATGAAGTACCTGATGATTCCTTCTACTGAGCCAGTAGTTAACTAGCCTGGGAAGCAACCTTGAAAACTCACAACTGAAATAACCCACTCTTACTTGTGGATTTTTGTCTCATTTTTTCCTTAGTGGGTTCAGCGTATCAACAGATAACAGAGTTCACATATTCAAACCTGTATCTGTGCAGGCAATGTGGTAAGAGGACTTTTAATATCTCTATAAAAGTTTTTTAGTATGTTAGTAGATGTAGATCAATATTTTGTGTACAGAAAATGCCAATCTGTTTGTGTGTATAGAACTTTGTGTGATCTGTTTGTGTGGCCATCATAGTTAAAGATGACTTAGAAGTTTAATTTCCAAATTATCACAATGATGGAAGGCCTTTGAGCATTGGTGAATAAGTAAAATTCAGAGGTGTTTTTAGACCCTGGAAGATATTTAATGAATCAGATAGCCAGTTGGAACTGAATTTTGTAGGGACATATTGATTAAGTTAGTAGCAGTCTAGAGCCAAGTCTAAATATCACAATCCTACTATGCATTAGGTTTCAGTTTCTTAAGGTAATCAAGGATCGTGTTGATGGAGTTACCTTATAGCTAGAAAAGTTTCATTTAAAATTCTGGCAACTGTTTGCCAGACTGTTTGCATAAGGCAAATATAGCCTAGAAAAACCATTATAGTTGTCTGTAACCATCAGCTAGTGTATTGACACTTTTAGGTTATTTACTGTATGTGAAATGGCATTATGCCTAGTGCTTTACATGGATTACATCTAATCATGACACCAACTTCCCGAAAGAGTATTATTAGCTCCTTGTAATGGATGAGATTTTAGAGAGGTTACATAATTGATCTTCGAATATCTCTTATATTTAAACAAAATAAACTCTTACTCTCTTTTTCCAGATTATCTAGAAAAATGATCTAATATAACTAAGGAATGATGTCTGTCCCCCAGTCAGTGATTTGAATTTTAGTTCCTCATTCAGTTGCCTGTTTTGTAGTCCCCATGAGGAACAGAATGGACAGAATGAAAGCCAAACAAGAAATAAAGGAGCCTGAAAAAGACTCCAGGGAGATAATTTACCCCTGAATAACAGGATTGATATCCTTGAGATGGTTGGGATCCTAAAATGGAGTCAACTGAACAATTAACAGTATTATCGTTTCATGCAATAATTGAGGTAGGACAGGGTTTCAGGTCATGTGTTGAGACCAGATTTTAGATTTAGGGCATATTTCACAGATACATTTCTCATGGAAAACTTATGACTGCCTTTGACTAAGGTTCAGTTAATGGCAATTGACTATCTATTCCCAGGTACCAAGTAAAACCAAACAGCATAATTCTCATAAGTGACAGTGTTTTCAGTTATATTTTGGGGAGAAGTACAAAGCAGTATTAATTCTTAAACCAGTGAAGATTCAGGAATAACCTTAGTTCAAGCCTTGATGTTCTAAAGTAGACTGACTAGTAGTCCTAGCTCTGTTATGTTACTTTAGAATAAACTTTTTTTTGCTGTACCACACAGGGAGAAGTGAACTGAAAATCACAGGGAAAAAAAAGAAAAAGATGATATATGGATCAAAGCAGCATTTAGATCAGGTGTTTCCTTCACAGGAAGGTAGTTACTGCAGCCTCCCACTATTGTAGGCAGCTGAAGTATCTGAGGTGTCTGAGCTTGAGTGTATTTTAGGGCACTTGCACCAGGCGCTTGTGGCATATGTTTTGAAGCATGTGTTTCCCCAATAAAAAAAAAACATGCATTGAATATCCTCTGCTTTGCTCTAAGCTGGCCCTTACCTTTGAATCTGTGTAATGAGACAAATTCACTGAGAATTCTCTGAGATTGACTTAATTCTTTGAGAATTTTGGCTTACTTTGAATAATAGAGAAAGCATTTTTAAAGATTCTGCAACTTTGTTTTTAAGGAAAAGTCTGTTTCCCTGATAAAAAATGGACTGGCATATTTTCTCCTTATCAAATTGGTAATGGTATTATTATTTTAATTTATATTATACAGGGTTGACTTGGACTTGTGAACAGACATTATTATATACTGTTGATGGGAGAATAAACTGGAACAGACTTTTTGAGAATTTGTCAATATGCCTTATCATTTTGCATGCTCTTTGACCTAGTAATTCTATTTCTAAGAATTTATCCTAAGGTAATAAGTGTATGCAAAAATTTTATTTTATTTTTTTTAATTTTTTTAAAGATGATTTTCATCACTTTATTTATTTATTTATTTTTTATCCTCACCCGAGGACATTTTTTTTTTTTCTTTCATTTTTTGTTCAGGTAGAGTGAGAGGGAGAGAGAGGAACAGAGAGAGAGAGAGAAACATCAATGTGAAAGGAACACATCGAGTGGTTGCCACCTGCACAACCAACCAGGGCCGGGGACAAACTGCAACCGAGGTACGCAGCCCTTAGCGGGAACCGAACCCGGGTCTCTCAGGACCGCAGGCCGACGCTCTAACCGCTGAGCCAAACCGGTCAGGGCTGCAAAAATTTTAACTATAAGAATGTTTGTCAGCGTTCTAATCATAGGAAAAAATAGAAAACAATTTAAATGTCTGAAAAGTAGGAATCAGTTATATTATGATATATCCATGTTTCTAAGTATGACACCATTGAAAATTATCTAGTTGAAGAATATTTATAGATGTGGAAAGATATTGATCATTAAGTGTAAAATAAAAGAACAAGTTTAAATAGTATGCAGATATATCTTTATTATAAATCTGTGCATAGACAGAAAAACTGGCAAGACCTATACTAAAACCTTACAAGTTATTTCTGGGCAGTTGGATTACAGTGCCTAAAAGAATGCCTAGTCCGCCCTGGCCCATTTTGCTCAGTGGTTAGAGCATCGGCCTGCGGTCCAGAGAGATCCTGATTCGGTTCCCTCTAAGGGCACGTACCTTGGTTGCAGTTTGGCCGCGGCCCTGGTTGGGGTCGTGCGGGTGGCAACCACTCGATGTGTCCCTTTCACGTCGATGTTTCTCTCTCTCTCTCTCTTCTTCCCACTCTATCTGAACAAAAAATGGAAAAATGTCCTTGGGTGAGGGAAAAAAAGAATTCCTAGTTCACAATTGGAACACAGTATTTGTTGAATGAAATGTCTTATTAGCTATAAATTTCTGCCTTTTACCTGAGGATTCTAAATTTTCTGAAGTGAGCGTGAACCACTTTTGTCATTGTTAATCCTCACCCAGGGATCTTTTTCCATTGCTTTTTTTTTTTTTTAAGATAGAATGGAATGGGGAGGGAGGAAGAGAGAGAGAAACAACTATGTGAAAGAGACACATCAATTGGCTGCCTCCCTGTACAACCTTGACCAGGGCCAGGGATCAAACCTGCAACCCAGTTATATGCTCTTTACCAGGAATCGAACCCTCAATTCTTCGGTCTGAATGCCAATGCTCTAACCACTGAGAAAAACTGGCCAGGGCATTTTTAAGAATAAGATATAGCCCTGGCAGGATAGCTTAGTTGGTTAGAGTGTTGTCCTGATATGCCAAGGTTGAGAATTCCATTTCTGGCCAGGGCACATAGAAGAAGCAACCAATGAATGCATAAATAAGTGGAACAACAAATTTATCTCTCCCTTTCTTTCTCTCTCTCTCCTCCCCTCCCTCTTTCCCCCTTTTCCCTTCCCCCCCTCTCTAAAATAATTTTTTTTAAAGATGTAAATGGATTGGCCCCAAAATTCTCTCATACTGTTCTTTTCTCTTAGGAGAGACATTAGTTAATAAGACATTTCATTCAACAAATACTAACTATGCTCCAGCTATGAACTAGGCATTCTTTTTAAGGCACTCGAGATACATCAGTAAATAAAACAGAAAAATTCCAGCTCTTGTGTAACTAGCTTTCTAGCATTTCTGGCTTTAGCTTCTCCCAAGTATATAACCAAAAAGGTACTTTTCAGTTTTGTTTACCCTTCTTGAGTTGAGTCAGAGATTTAATTCATCTAAGAATAACCAGCTGTTCTTAGAAAGAAGCTCAAATGTATGAATAAATGATTTAAAGAAACTGGGAGACTAGAGCAGCAAGAATCTTAAATGTCATTAGATCAATACTTCCTGGACGTTAAAGGACATGTCCTCAAGGCTTAGGGACATCTACATATGATCTTTGTGGAGCCTCCAAGAATCATAGGGATCAACTCAGATTCTGTGCCAAGGGAAACAAATCTTTTTTTTTTTTTTTTTCTCACCCGAGGACATTTTTCCATTTTTTGTACAGACAGAGTGGGAGGGAGAGAGAGGAAGAGAGAGAGAGGGAAACATCGATGTGAAAGGGACACATCGAGTGGCTGCCACCCGCACGACCAACCAGGGCCAGGGACAAACTGCAACCGAGGCACATGCCCTTAGCGGGAACCGAACCCAGGTCTCTCCGGACCGCAGGTGGATGCTCTAACCGCTGAGCCAAACTGGCCAGGGCGGGAAACAAATCTTTGTATAGTAAATTGCTGCAATTTCTAGTTCTTTGGTGATATTACCATTGCCACAGCATGGTTCCAACTGTGGGGTCATGAATTCCACAGGTACCTGAACCTATTTTTCACTGTTGGGTTGTCAGTTCTCCTATTCTTCTCTACTCCCACCTTAATATTGCCCCATATCTTTCAGCAAGAACTGTCTTACTGTCTCAATTGTTATGATTGGATAATATAGTATAATCAGAATCAGAGAGTCTTGAATTCCAGGAAGTAGAGTCTTCGGAGGCCGAATTCTGTAGGATTTAAAAATTGGAAGAATTTGGAGTACACATGGATTATTGGCCTTTTAGTAACCCCCATAATTCTACAGCACTCATTTCCCTGTATATCTTTCAGGTCTGCACTACAGAGTTTACACAAGGCTTGTGAAGTGGCCAGAATGCATAACTACTACCCAGGCAGCCTGTTTCTCACTTGGGTGAGCTATTATGAGAGCCATATCAACTCAGATCAATCGTCAGTCAATGAATGGAATGCCATGCAGGATGTACAGTCACACCGGCCTGACTCTCCAGCTCTCTTCACTGACATGTAAGTCAGTTTGCTGCGGATCATGGAAATCCTCTCTATTGTGTTCTAGGGTGCTGTAAGCAATATGTTCTTCCCTAATCTCTCCTCTTGGGGAATTAATCTTACCCAGTAATATTCGTCATTGTCTACACTATACAACTATGACATAAAGAATGCTGTTTTTTCTATTTTCTACAAAGACCTGAGGTATTTCGCTCCTGGGTACAATGCAGTCTCTGTAGATAAGAACTGCAATACCATAAAATTCCATTAATTTGGATTTCACTAATTTGAAATTTGAGAGTAAAGGAGATAAACTGAAGTCTACCTTTGCATTATCTGTGAAAGAAACATTTGGTAAACAAATTAATGACAAAGAGAAGCTTTTAGAAGGATGTTTCAATACTTAAGAAAATGTGTTTCTAGGCCAGCTAGAGTTGAGCATCATCCTGTGCACCAAAAGGGTGCCGGTTCTATTCCTGCTCAGGGCACATACCTGGGTTGTAGGTTTGATCCCTAGACTGGCACATATGGAAGGCAACTGATCAGTGTTTTTCTCTTACATCAATGTTTCTCTCGCTCTCCCTTCCTATTTCTAAGCATGTCCTTGGGTGAGGATTTAAAAAAGAAAAGAAAAGATGATTCTAGTCAATTAAAAAGAATGCCTAGCCCTGGCTGGTTTGACTCAGTGGTTAGAGTGTCGGCCTGCAGTCCAGAGAGACTCGGGTTCGATTCCTGCTAAGGGCATGTACTTCAGTTGCAGTTTGTCCCCAGCCCCAGTTGGGTTGTGCAGGTGGCAGCCACTCAGTGTGTCCCTGTCACATAGATGTTTCTCTCTCTCTCTCTTCCTCTCTCTCCCTCCCACTCTGTCTGAATAAAAAATGGAAAAATGTCCTCAGGTGAGGATAAAAAATAAATTAAACAAAAAGAATGCCTGGCCCAGCTGGTGTGGCTCAGTGATTGAGCATCGACCCATGCACCAAGAGGTTGCCAGTTCAATTCCTGGTCATGGCACATGCCCAGGTTGTGGGCCCAATCCCCAGTGGGGTGGCATGCAGGAAGTAGCCAATCAATGTTATCTCTCATCGATGTTTCTATCTCTTTCCCCCTCTCCCTTCCTCTCTGTCTAAAAATCAATAAAGTAAAAAATATATATATTAAAAAAACAAAACAAAAGACACCTCATTCTTTAAAAAAAAAAAAAATGAATGCCTAGGCCTGGCCAGTGTGGCTCAATGGATTGAGCATCATCCCATAGACTGAAAGGTCTTGGTTCAATCCCCCATTAGGGCATGTGCCCTGGTTGCGCACTCGATCCCTAGTAGGGGGTATGCAGAAGGCAACCGATCTATGTTTCTATCTCTCCTTTCCTTTCTCTCTAAAAAATCAATTAAAACATATTTTTAAAGAGAAAAAGAACGCCTAGGTTGTTATGCTAATTCTAAACTGATTTATGTTCAGATTTTTTAAAAAATATTTTGTAATTTGTATGTTAAGACCTTTGCCTTTTTAAGTCTGCCTCAATTAGATTTTATTGTATCTCCCTGGTGCACTGTGAGTTAAATAAAGGCCTAAGGTGGAGCTGATATTTATTTTCTTTTTAGGTCTATGTGTTGAAATTTATGTGACTATTGTAAAAAAATTTTCACACTTAGCTCCTGCTTTGGAAATTAATCAGGATGTTTATATTGCTCTGAATTGATCTTTCTGCACTTCCAAGGTATTCTATAGTTAGGAAAAAAGAGTAGCTACTTGCTATCTGACCTTATAAATCTTCATCTACAATTTCTGAAATAATATCAAAATAGTTTGTGATTTTTTTTTTTTTATTCTCACCCGAGGACATTTTTCCATATTTTGTTCAGATAGAGTGGGAGGGAAAGGGAGGAAGAGAGAGAAAGAGAGAAATATTGACGTGAAAGATACACATCGAGGGGCTGCCGTCCACACGACCAACCCAGCCGGGACAAACTGCAACCGAGGTACACGCACGCCCTCAGCGGCTACCGAACCCGGGTCTCTCCGGACCGCAGGCCAACACTCTAACTGCTGACCCAAATCGGCCAGGGCACTTTATGATTTTTTTAAGAAAGAAAGTTTAATTCAGATAATGTAATAAATGATTTTTAGTAGAAAAAGTGAAATTTTCAAGAATTGTGTGAACAAAACAGTCAAAAAAGCAATGGAAGGATTGCATAGGGTATTATTAGTATAGGACTTATTTTTCATTAGCCTTAGACCTTTCAAGATCCCAGAATAACAGCCCTGGCCGGTTTGGCTCAGCGGTTAGAGCGTCGACCTGCGGTCCAGAGAGACCCGGGTTTGGTTCCCGCTAAGGGCATGTACCTTGGCTGCAGTTTGTCCCCGGCCCTGGTTGGGTCGTGTGGGTGGCGGCCACTCGATGTGTCCCTTTCACATCGATGTTTCTCTCTCTTCCTCTCTCTCCTTCCCGCTCTATCTGAGTGAAAAATGGAAAAATGTCCTCGGGTGAGGATTAAAAAAAAAATCCCAGAGTAACAAAAAAGGTAAGGGTTAGTTTGGCTTTCAGAATCTTGGAAAATGTTACTGATTTCTGGCTTTACAGCTGGTTGATGAGTATCAAAGGAATGGATGTCACATCTGGCTCAAAAATGGATATTCTGAACCAGACTTACGTGAGAAAGAGAAAACCCTTTTTTGAAAAAAATTTTTTTTCCCTTTATTGATTTTAGAGAGAGGGGAAGTGAGAGGGAGAGAAAGATAGAAACATCGACGAGAGAACATTGATTAGCTGCCTCCTGCGTGCTCCCCACTGGGGATTGACCCACATCTTGGGTATGTGTTCTGACCAGGAATTGAACCAGCGACCTCTTGGTGCATGGGTCAATCAGTGCACAACTACTGAGCCACACCGGCGGGACAAGAGAAAACTCTTTATTTTTCATAATTTTATTAGAGAAAATTTGGAAATTACAAAAGAAGAAAATGAAATTGCCCATAATTTCTCTATATTCACAGGCATAGTAAATAATGTTAAATGTAATCCCTGGCACATGGTAGAAGCTCATTGAATGTTAGTTCTAGTATGTATCGTATAACCCCACTTTTAGGATAATTTAATAAACAAGTGTTTATCTGTTCATAGAAAAAGACTGAAAACTGTCAGTCACTGTATTTTAGTAATGATTATCTCTGACAGAAGGATTTTCAGCAATTTTTATTTTCTTGTGTTTTTATGTATTTTCTAAATTTTTCTCCAGTGAGATTGAGGGAGAAAATGTGTTTGTGTTATAATGCTTTTTCCATTTCCATTTTTTTTCCCTGAGTTGAGTAGAAAAAGCTTTAAAAATATGCTGAAAACACAGGGAGAATGTGAACCAAGAGGACTTAAATGCTCTACTGTGAACAAAGTTTATGTTTTAAAATCCAAGGAAGGGAAAGAAGGGAACATATGTGTATGGTGCCTCCACTTTATGTCAAATGCAATGCCAGGCACTTCATACAGGGTATCTCATTTACTCCTTCTAAGGGTATCTCATTTACTCCTTCTAAGAACCTCATGAGGCAAATATTACTACTTCCCTTATTTTATATAAAAGGAAAGAGGCTCAGAGAAAGGAAGTAATTTGTTCAAGTTCATACCACTAGTAAGTAGCAGGACTGGGATTAAAACCTAAATGTTGTCTGCTCCCAAATCACTGTGCCTCAAACAAGTATGAAGGATTTGGATAAAGATTGCTAAAGTAGGGAATCTCAACCATGCACACAGATTCTACACTTCATTTTTGCCAACATTTCTTTTTATTAGAAGACTGAAGTGTGTCACTTTCTACCATTCGCTATATCTAGGGAAAATGGTGGGGAACATGATTAAGAATTTTAGTCCTTGCCCTAGCCGGTTTTGCCCAGCGGTTAGAGCATCGGCCTGTGGTCCAGAGAGACCCGGGTTTGGTTCCGCTAAGGACACGTACCTCGGTTGCAATTTGTCCCCAACCCCAGTTGGGGTCATGTGGGTGGCAACCACTCGATGTGTCTCTCTCACACCAATGTTTCTCTCTCTCTCTCTCTCTCTCTCTCTCTCCCTCTCCCTCTCCCCCTCCCTGCCTCTCCCTCCCTCCCAGTCTGTCTGAACAAAAAAATAGAAAAATGTCCTCGGATGAGGATAAAATAAAATAAAGAATTTTAGTCCTTCTCAAGACAGGGAGGCCTTGGCTGATTGATAGGGAAATGGCACGGGTATTAGCTGTATTCTGCAAGGTTCTTGAGGAACTAAAAGCCCAAGTCGTAGGGAGCCCCAAGGTTGTGGGGTCAGAACATCCATCTTTGGAAATTACTAAATCTATTTTTGCAACCAGTGATAAGGCTGTAGGCAGCAAGGCCAGGCAGGATGCCTGAAGGCTTAGTCCATTTCCATCTCCAAATAAGGAGGTACAAAGCAGATACCTTTCTTATGTAGGTAGGAGGGGAAAGACAAGACAGAAAATGCTCTCTGTCAACCTCACTCACATTCTGCATAATCTGAAATAGTGCTTTTAGAGAAAAGCTTCCAGTTACATTGAACTAATACCTGTCTAGTAATTGGAGAATCAGCTTCCTAATTTGATTTCATATTAAAGTTCTGAGAGTAATTTTATTTTTGAGTCTGAAGACTAAGGGAAGCAACACAATCAATCCTGCAAGGTAAAGTGTTAGGCTGAACTGAGAGTTCTATTTCTCCTGCCAATATATGTGATCATTGGCATGTCATTGAACCCATTAGCTGTCTATTTTCTATATCTGTAAAATGGGGATAACAATTTCACAGAGATATTGTGAGATCTTTTGTGAAAAGCAAAGCGTTTTGGATGGAAGTACTCCAGGTAGTTAATCCTTGAAACCTATTTTGGAAGAGAATTTGCCTCATTGAAGAAGGCAGAAATCACTCTTCCCTCTCGTTTTCTAAAATCATAGCAATGAATGAATGATGAGCATTAGGTGGCAGTTTGTGCTATAGAACACCCAGTTCCATCATGGGTCACACCACTGGTCTACTCAGTTCAGCAAGTGGTACTCAGGTGCTTGATGGGAAAACGTAGATTATGGTCCTCCATTCAAGTTTACATTCAGTATAGCCTGTTTGTCTTTACTCCTTCATGGATCTGTCTATATATGTGAATATATTTAAAGGCTTTTAGACACATATAACCTTTATTGACTTTAGAAAGGGAGGAAGTGAGAAGGAGAGAGATAGAAACATCGATGAGAGAGAACATCGATTGGCCACCTCCTGCATGCCCCACACTGGGGATCGGGCCCACAATTTGGGCACGTGTCCTGACCGGGAATTGAATCGGTGACCTCTTAGTGTATGGGTCAACATTCAACCACTGAGCCACACTGGCCAGGCTAAAAGGAAAATCTTTTAAATATTGTTTTCTTTTGGCCACTCCTCCAGAATATAAATTTGAGGGTAATAGAGGCAAAACATGTCAGTTTGGAACCATAATCAAAAAGCACATTCATTAATTTATTAAAATTCCTACCTGTGAAAAATCACCATTTCTCTTTTCTCAGACCAACTGAACGTGAACGAACAGAAAGACTAATTAAAACCAAATTAAGGGAGATTATGATGCAGAAGGATTTAGAAAATATCACATCCAAAGAGGTAAGAGACCTTAAGTCCTCATTGTTTCAAGGCTAAGTAGGAGTAGGATAGCTGTGGGGCTAGAAATGGTGAGTGATTGAAAATATAGAGGGACTTGACAGAGATTAGTATAATATGTCATCTTTGTTTCAGATACGAACTGAGTTGGAAATGCAAATGGTGTGCAACCTGAGAGAATTCAAAGAATTTATAGATAATGAAATGATAGTGATCCTTGGTCAAATGGACAGCCCTACACAGATATTTGAGCACGTGTTCTTGGTAAGTTTTGGGGCCCACTTAAGTGATGTGCCGAAGCTAGTCCATACCAACTCATGGTGGGGAGGGGCAACTATTAAATGTTACTATATTTAAATAAAATGTAATATACATTCAAAACAAAGGTAATGAATATTCAAACCTTATCAGTTTCTAATTCTTATACTATTATCTGTGCTCTTAAGTTTATTTACATCTATTGTATGGTGTCAATGTTATATAATGGTGAGCTTGTGCTTCATCTCTTCCCAGTTTCTATTCAGTGACATCATATTGACTATGGTGGGAATATTTACACCAAGGAACCTGGCAGGTGCTACAAATCAGGCCTTTTGTCCCCATGGGTTATTAAATATCTCATCTATTCTTCATAATAGTCAAAGGCAAAAACAGACCAGTCCATAATAATTTTCCACAGTGTATCCATATAGGATGATCCTTTAATTTCACTTTTTCATGTCTGCTAAACGTGTCTTAGGTCAGATATATCTGAGCAGAGCAAGTTGAGAGGCTATTGGACTTTTAAGTATTTTGAAACTTATAGCACACCCCCTCCGAACACTTTTGTGATTACCCAAAATTTGGTAACTTAAAATTGTTCTTCATGGTTCTTGAACTTCAGTAACCTGTAATTAGCCCAAGGAGACCTCTCTGACAGATGAATTAGGAAAGCTTCCAAAGTCCTAAGACATATTTTCCTCCCAAATGTTAAAGAGTTCTAGTTTTCATCTGTATATAGTAGTGGGAACAAGGTTAATAAGGACAATTAAAATTTCAGGTGTGTGAGGGCACCCCAGCCATTGTTGCTCAGTGGTTAGAGTATTGCCCTGCACATGTAAAGGTTTCAGGTTCAATTCCCAGTCAAGGGCACAGACCTGGGATGCAGGTTTGATCCCCAACTGCAGCTGGGTTGAGTTTGGGAAGCAACCAATCCGCAAGTCTCTCTCATATTGGTGTTTCTCTCTCTCTCTCTTTCCCCTTTTCACTCTCTCTAAAAATCAGTGGAAAAAAATATCCTCAAGTGAGGGCTAACAAAAATTTTTTTTAATTGAGGGGTGATGCCAAACACTCAGTGTTTTTTTTTTTTCTTTTGTTTGTTTTTATCCTCACCCTAGGACATGTTTATTGATTTTTTTAAAAAATTTTTTCCGCCCTGGCCAGTTTGGCTCAGCGGTTAGAGCGTCGGCCTGCGGTCCGGAGAGACCCGGGTTCGGTTCCCGCTAAGGGCACGTACTTCGGTTGCAGTTTGTCCCCGGCCCTGGTTGGTCGTGCGGGTGGCAGCCACTCGATGTGTCCCTTCACGTCGATGTTTCTCTCTCTCTCTCCCTTCCTCTCTATCTGTACAAAAAAAAAATGGAAAAATATCCTCGGGTGAGGATAAAAAAAAAAAAAAAAAAAAAAAAAAAAATTTTTTCCTTTATTGATTTTAGAGGGAAAGGAAGGGAGAGGGAGATAGAAACATTGATGAGAAAGAACATTGATTGGCCGCCACCTGCATGCCCCCATACTGGGGATCAGGCCCACAACCTGGGCATGTGCCATGACTGGGAATTGAACTGGTGACCTCTTGGTGCAAGAGTCGATGCTCAACCACTGAGCCACATTGGCCACACCATGTGTATTGATTTTTAAAGAGAGAGAGGAACATTGAAGTGAAAGACAAACACTGATTGATTGCCTCCCATACATAATTCTGCCTGGGGATCAAACCCACAGCCATTTTGGTATACAAGATGACACTCCACTCAACGGAGCCACCTGGCCAAGGCAAAAACCTTATTTTTGTTTCCACTTCCCACACACTTTGACCAAAAATGCTAACAAGGAACTAAATTTGATTCGTTTGAATTTCACTTCCTTTCTCTGATGAGGACATTTGTGAACCGTGGAATGATTAGACGCTAAGAAACAAGGAGAAGAGGAATAAATGCTCAGGAACTGTCTAAATTGGATCATCCCACCCTGAATATTCAAAAGTTTATTTCACCAAGCAGTCAGACTTTGTGTCATGGAAGGCTTGTGCCCTGAATTAACTTGTTGACACTCTGGTGTTTGTGTGCTTATGGAGTGATTCATAGTTGTGTATAGCTATGAAATTACTCATGAAAAGCTGGGAGCTGGGAGGGGAGCTTCTTTTCCATTACTTTAACTTGACCGTTGCCATTTCTGGATATAGATCATACTACAAAGCTGTCATTGACCTTTCCATGTGTGAAGCACCTGATTTTGTTGTCTTTGTGTATACTCCGTGAGGATTTACATATTCCCTGCTTTTGTATTGTTGGAAAGAATTTTTGTGTTATCTATAGAAGACTTATGAGTCACTCTCTCAAATGGACCTCTACCCCCAACTGTCTCCATGTATCATGACATTTTTATGAAGGGAAAGTGCCCATAGCCACAAATAGCTCATGTTTGAAAGTGACCAATACTGTAAACTTAACTTTTCCATTGAGCTTGGATTTTAATACCTAAAATGATACAGACATAAATATCAAATACAGTCAAAATCTGACTGGTCAACCTGTTTAACTTCATTTACACTTACCTATGTCTGTGATGTCACCCCTTCAAGAACTACCTTCTTCTTACCCTCTCTGCAAATGGTATGTTTTATGACATATAAACAATTTTTTTTATTAATGCTCACCCAAGGGTCATTTTTCTGTTGATTTTTTTTTTTTTTTTTTTTTTTGGAGAGAGAGTAGGAGGGAGGGAGGGGGAGAGACAGGGATCAATGTGAGAGAGAGAGATCAATTGGTTGCCTCCCGCACACTAGTAAAATGCCCTTGATTTTACTAGTACTCTAAACAGAAAGAATAATCCAGTTCTTCCCAAATATAGTCCCTAATAAACTACAAATGCATTTGAGGATTTGTACCAATCAGTTTATCCTATTATTTTGTAATTATTGGCATATTCTTATGTTTTGAGCTTTTATTTTTCTTAATACAAAAATAATTCATGTTCATTGTAGAAAATTTAGAAGACAATGAATAACATTTAGTTGTCACCAAAGAGATAAGCTCTGTTATCTTTTATCATATAATGCTGCCTTCCAGTCTTTTTAATTTTTTTTTTTTTTTTTTTATCCTCACCCAAGGATATTTTTCCATTTTTTGTACAGATAGAGTGGGAGGGAGAGAGAGTGAGAAACATCGACGTGAAGGGACACATCGAGTGGCTGCCACCCGCACGACCAGCCAGGGCCAGGGACAAACTGCAACCGCAGTACGTGCCCTTAGCGGGAACCGAACCCGGGTCTCTCCGGACCGCAGGCCGACGCTCTAACCGCTGAGCCAAACTGGCCAGGGCTTAATTTTTTTAAATATGTATCTATGTCCATATTTTTGAAAAAAGGAAATTTTTATTGTTTCAGATAACAATTCTGTTTTCAAGAGAATGGACATGTTTTTTTCCACTGTGAATATTTTTTTCTTATATGAGAAAAACTTTCAAACTGGAAAATCCTGAAATTTAACTCTTATCCAACAAAATAAGTAGATGAACAGGTTGTCTAAACATCTTATTGTATTTTTTCTTTAATGGCTTTCTCCCTTTGCACCACCATGCCCTCTGTCCAAACCCCTGTCTCTTCTCCAGTGAGCCTGTGCTCTGCTGGCTTTCTCAGCAATTAACATGGAAAAAGAGGTCTTATTCAAGTTGCGAATGGTGGTGTTAATTTTCTGCAAAATGATTTCATCTTGTGCATAGTTGCCATGCCTGGAGCGCAAGTAGATTGTGTGAAGGGAGGCAGCAGGATTTCTCCCCTCCCTTTGGAAGAATGCTCATCTCTGCAGTACATCGCACAGAGATGTTTATTTGGAAAAGTGTCCAGCTGGTATGGAAAAGAAAAGTGTAGAACACAGTTTAAAGAAAATCTGCAGCAATAATAGAGGATTCATTGGCTGGAAGCCAGGGTATTTCCAGAAAAAGTTCTTCCACACCCTCAAGAGTGTACTATTTCTCTGAGCTGGAAGCCTTTGCCCAACCAAATCTCAGTATCAACAGCTCTCCTGGAGGCTGTCCGATTTGGCTGAGAAAAGCTAGATGTGAACAGAAAGGCAGGCAGCTTTCTTAGTTAAAGGAAATAGGAGTATTGGACACACAGCCATTAATTTTGTTCATGGTGCTTGCTTCAGCAGCACGTATACAATAATTTTGTTCATGAGAAAAGGGTAGTCATACTTTTTTTTTCTTTACTGATTTTGGAGAGAGAGGAAAGGAGAGGGAGAGAGAGATTGAAACATTGATGATAGAGAACATCGATTGGTCGCCTCCTGCATGCCCCCCCCCATTGGGGATTTGGCCCACAACTTGGGCACGTACCCTGACCGGGAACCGAACCAGTGACCTTTTGGTGCATGGGTGACACTCAACCACTGAGCCACACTGTCTGGGCAAAGGTAGTCATAATTTTACTGCTGATATCTTTTTCAAGATTTAACATTATACATCTTTTTAGAATAGTGTTTATTTTTCAAAGAAAAATTAAGCCTCAAATTGGTGGTTACTTTTTTACAGTAGATGCAGAGAAATGGAGGATGTGTGAATAGGTGAGACATTAATCAAATGAATTATTTTTATCATATTCATGATTTTTCTTCCTCTATTAGAGATGTGTAGGATAAAGTTAAAAGAGATATTGCCCTGGCCGGTTTGGCTCAGCAGTTAGAGCATCGGACCATGGACCAGAGAGACCCGGTTCAGTTCCCACTAAGAGCATGTACCCCAGTTGCAGTTTGTCCCCAGCTTCGGTTGGAGTCGTGTGGGTGGCAACCACTCGATGTGTCATTTTCACATAGAATTTTCTCTCTCTCTCTTTCTCACCCTCTCCTTCCTGTTCTATCTGAAACAAAACAAAACAAAAAGTCCTCGAGTGAGGATTAAACAAAACAAAACAAAAAGGTAAAAGAGATCTAGTGCCTGGTTTGCAGAGTAATGTGGTTTACAGCGTTGAGACTGTAGGTATGAAGGATATGGACCAGGAATACCAGTCCCTTGGAGATTATGTCCAGTTGTATTGATTTTTAGCAGAACCCCAGTACACTCCTTCTTATTTGCCATAAATGTGCTTTCCTCTTCTATTTTGCTTGAAACATTTGGACCCCAACAAGGCTATTTTTTGAGGATAGCAACTGAAATGAAATCAGTCTCTTGGGTCTTTGGGCCCCAGGATACAGTGTAGGGAAACCAGAGGGAAAAGATGGAAATGAACTTACTTAAAAATGTATTATAGGCCCAAGTTTTCATTTTACATTTCAGGAAAATTAAAAAATGCTTTGCATAATTACATAGAACATAGTAAATCCCCCCCCCCCCCATGGAATTAAATCATTGTAAGCCTGAGAAACAGAGAGAAAAAAAGATTGAGTCTGTGGAAGACCCCAGGAGGCCAATATGAATGGCATTTGTATTGAGGGCAGAAAAGTAATTATATACCACATTGACTTCAGTTCTTTCTTTCAGGTTGAACTGGAAGCATCTGTAACCACAGCCCAAGTCACTTTACACAAGCTTCACTGAGTTAGTAGCCAGGGCTTTTAATTTATTTTGTTCTGGATACGTGTCATTTCAGATTGTCAGATTGAATTTTCTCTGGACAGATAGATAAAAACCATGGACTTTCCCTATCATGTCAGGGTTATTTTCATCTAGCTGGACAGAGTTCCTCAGAGGATTTAGATTTCTAAATTAAGGAGTTAGGTGGTCACATTTCCCTGGCTACAGTTTAGCCACTCAACCTTTTATTGCTTGACTTCTGTCTCCTTGAAGTCCTTTGTAAGTCTTGTCTCTTTCTTCGGTGTTTGAGCTAGTTTCTAAGATTGAGCATAGAGCCTTCAGTACCTTCCATATTTTTTTAAAGCAAGTCAGCTGAGCCCTAGTCTATAGAAATGATCAGTTGTTCATCACTTATTGGAACTTCAGTACAATATCCTTGAGATCTTCCAGTTAAACATCTAAATTACATTTCACTTGTAATATGATGATAGTAATGCTTGCATACACTCAACAATTTTCAGTGTGCTTTATTTACTTATTTTATTTAATCATTCAACAAACATTTGTTGATCCTCTTTATTGTGCCAGGCATGAAGCTAGACATTTGTGGAATGTGAGCTAATTCCATAAGGAGGTAGTGATAAACTATCAGATAGATATTCACAGAAGACCAATGGAATAAGGATACAAAGGTGACCCTTGGATTAGACAATTAGAACAGGTCATTAGTAACATTAGTAAGAGTAAGGAGGGCAAAAGCCACAATGCTGTGGGTTGATGTGCATGGGAAATGAGGAATTAGAGAAAGTGTTAGATTATGTTTCTGTGAAACTTGGCTATGAAGGGAACGGGAAAAGGACAGTGTGTGGAGGAGGATTCAAAATGAAGAGTGAGTTTTCCCATTTTAATATGAGAGAAACTGGGTTTTTTGTTTGTTGACTTACAAACAGCAAAAATTTATTTCTCACAGTTGTAGAGGCTAAAATTCTGAAATCAGGGTGTCTACGATTGAGTGAGGGCCCTCTTCTGAGTTTCAGGCTTCTCTTTGTATTCTCGCATTGCAGAAGGAATTGGGAGAAGTTTATATTTGTAATTTGAGGGAAGGTACCCATTAGATATATAGGTCTAGGTAGGAGGAGTGTTCCATTTTATTGATAAGGAAAGTGGAGACAGATTAAGCAGTTTGTTTAGTGCCCTACAGTAAGAGGGGGAGTTCGAACTTGAGTTCCAGTCTCTAATGCTAAATTCTCTTTAATGCATAATTCTAAAATAGGTAAATGCTTAGTTTTATTTTATTTTATTTTTTTGTTGTTAATCCTCACCCAAGGATATTTTTCTACTGATTTTTAGATAGAGTGAAAGGGAGGGAGGAAGACAGAGACAGACAGACAGACAGACAGACAGACAGACAGAGACATCAGTGTGAAAGAGAGACATTGATTGGTTGCCTGTCACATGACCCCAACTGGGGCTGCAATCGAACCTGAGACCCCTCGGTTCTCAGGCAGATGCTCTAACCACTGAGAAAACTGGCCAGGCTAAATGTTTATTTTTAAATGTTTGTCTTTTCAAACATGAACAGATAACTCAAAGATGACAGATTGGCAAAATTCAAATGGTTAAACACACATTTTGTTGGTGAAGCAGTGGGAGAAGCTGCACTCTCATCCATTGTTGGTGGGAGTGCAGAATTGTTTCAGACTCAAGGGGAATTTAACAATGTCTAACAAAACTATACGTTTACCCTTGACCCAGAAATCTTGTTTCCACAAATATGAGACATTCATAGGAGAGTGATTGAATAAACTATTATATCACTACCCAGTGCACTATTATATCACTACTATGAAGATGTAAAAAAGAATAAGGCTGATCTCTGTAAACTATGATATGGAGTTGTTTACATATTCAAAAATGAAGAGCAAAATTATAGGTAGTATACTATTTTTATGTAAGATTTAATAATAATATTTTATTTTCTTATATATTTTTTTCAAAATAGAACGTAAAGTAAACCAGAAACTAATGAAAATGGTTACCCATGGGAATTGAAGAGATAGGGATAAGACACTTCAAGTTTACTTTTATAAGTAAACTTTTGATTTTCAACTATGTGAAAGTTTTACATGTTCAAAACCCTCAAAAAAAAAATAGAATTGAAAAATAAAAAATTATTTTTTAAAAAAAGAGTGGAAAAATTGAATACAAACAGGAACAAATGAAGCCAAATGTATATTAAATTGATAACCTCACAAAAAGAATTTAACTCAAATAACTTTAAAGCATAATACTCTGATTATACCTCTTAGTAGGATATAATAAGGGAGAAAAAAGAACTGCAAAGAATATTTGAACCTAACAGGTTTGTTATTGGTTGTGGTATTGGGAACCAAGGTTCTCACTGTGGAGTAGGGAGATATAAGCGATGGAGAAGGGGCAAGAAGAAAAGGAAGAGCCTTGCAATGTTGAATTTGAATCAGAGGTACCAGTATAAATTGATTACATTTTTGGAAATATTTCCCAGATCTGTCCACTGAAAAGGGTTGGAGGCAGTAATACCCACTAGTTATGAGCATACCTAATTAATGCCCAGATCTTGATTAAAAAGTGCTATTCTTCACCAGAAGAAGCCAAGATTACACCCTGGCCAGTTTGGCTAAGCGGTTAGAGCACCGGCCCATGGACCAGAGAGTCCGGGTTCGGTTCCCACTAAGGGCACGTACCTTGGTTGCAGTTTGTCCCTGGCCCAATGGGGTTGTGTGGGTGGCAACCACTCGATGTGTCTCTCTCTCACATTGATGTTTCTCTTTACCTCCCTCTCTCCTTCCCGCTCTATCTGAAGATAAATGCAAAAATGTCCTCAGGTGAAGATAAAAAAAAAAAGAAGCCAAGATTCCTTGGACAATTGGTGGATTTTATTCACAGAGCGAATCTGGAACCTTTTGTTTGTTTGTTTTTTGAACCAGAAAGTAAGAAATTGCCGAAGACTAATGGAGTCGTATCAAAACCAACCTGCTTGAAAAGATTCCCACTGGCCAAAATCAGGACAATTTGGGTGTTTCCTCCCACCCCCTCCAAAATGATAATAGATTATAACAATAAATACACAAAGAATTCAAGAGTGCATAGTGACACTCCAATAAAGAGTGAGAACACTGATTAGATCAGCAGTTCTCAACCTGTGGGTCGTGACCCCTTTGGGGGTCGAATGACCCTTTCACAGGGGCTGCCTAAGACATAACAGTAGCAAAATTACAGTTAAGAAGTAGCAAGGAAAATAATTTTTTTTAATCCTCACCCGAGGACATTGTTGCATTTATCTTCTGATAGAGCGAGAGGGAGAGAGGAAGAGAGAGAAACATTGATGTGAGAGAGACACATCGAGTGGTTGCCACCCACACAACCCCAACCGGGCCAGGGACAAACTGCAACAGAAGTACATGCCCTTAGTTGGAACCGAACCTGGGCCTCTCAGGTCCGTGGGCCAACACTCTAACCACTGAGCCAAACCGGCCAGGGCACAACAAAAATAATTTTATGGTTGGGATTCACCACAACATGAGGAACTGTATTGAAGGGTTGCTGCATTAGAAAGGTTGAGAACCACTGGATTAGATGAAGCTCTCTTTTACAGAAAAATGCCTGCTAATATGCAGAAGGAATGATAGAATTAGAAAATCACCATTTTGGTTTTGTTATTTATTTGTTTAAGAGAGGGGGAAGGGAGAGGGAGACAAACATCAATGAGGGAGAAACATCAACATCCATTGGCTGCCTCCTGCACGCCCCCTGCTGGGCACTCAATCACTGAGCCACACTGGCTGTGTGAAAATAACCATTTTGTAACCTCTAGTAAAATAACAGAGTACTTGGCACATAGAGAAGAAACTCAGCGATGATATCAATGTTCTTTTTAGAAACTGCTTCTTCTCTCATAGGATTCCTGGTCAAGTGTTGTATTTGGTTCATTTGCTCATGCTCCCTAATCTTGTTATTTTGGTTCCACAGGGCTCTGAATGGAATGCTTCTAACTTAGAGGATTTACAGAACAGAGGGTAAGCATCACTGTTTCATCTTTACCATTTTTTTTCCAGTCACAGAGGTGTCAGTGAGTTACTTGACGCTTCAGAGTTGCTACCTATTTATTCTAATCAGGTGCAATCTAATAAGAATTAAAACTACTGTTCTACTGTTTCATCCTTTCACCTACTAGGAAAGATCAGTGGTAAGGCTTTCAGAAACAAATGTGTAAGCCTTTCATACTATTTAAAACCAAATGCAGCCCTGGCCAGTTTGGCTCAGCGGTTAGAGCGTCGGCCTGCGGTCCGGAGAGACCTGGGTTCGGTTCCCGCTAAGGGCACGTATTTCGGTTGCAGTTTGTCCCCGGCCCTGGTTGGTTGTGCGGGTGGCAGCCACTCGATGTGTCCCTTCACGTCGATGTTTCTCTCTCTCTCTCCCTTCCTCTCTCTCCCTCCCACTCTATCTGTACAAAAACTGGAAAAATATCCTCGGGTGAGGATTAAAAAAAAAAAACAAAAAACAAATGCAGACATTGTTTCCTTTAAAACACACACACACACACACACACACACACACACACACACACACTGTTTTAGAGCATTTTAAAGGTTCACAGCAAAATTGAGGGGAAGGTACAGAGATTTACCATATACCCCTGCCCCAACACATGTATAGCCTCCACCATTATCAATATTCCCCACCAGAGTGGTGCATTTGTTACAATTGATAATCCTACATTGAGGCATCATAATTACTCAAAGTCTGTAGCTTATGGTTCACTATTGGTGTTGAACAGTCTGTGGCTTTAGACATATGTATAATGTATCCATCATTATGTTATCACAGAGTATTTTCACTACCCTAAAAATCATCTATGCTCCATTCATTTATCCCCCTACTTCCAACCTCAGTGACCACTGATCTTTTCACTGTCTCTATAGTTTTGCCTTTGGTTCCTATATTTATGTAAGAGTATGCAGAACTGCATATGTTGGTTTCACAGCTATTCGTTCAGTGTTTATTGAGTATCTTTTGTGGGTCTAGCACAGTGCTAGATGCTAAGGATCCAAAGATAAATGAGCCCTGGCTGGGTGGCTCAGTTGGTTGGAGTGTCATCTCTTGCACCAAAAAGGCTGTGGGTTCGATTCCCAATCAGGGCACAAACCTAGGTTGCAGTCTAAATCCCCAGTCCGGGTGTGTGTGGGAGGCCACCAGTCAATCCATGCTTCTCTCTCACATTGATATCTCTCTCCCCCATCCTTCCTCCCTCCCTCCCTCCCTCCCTTTCTCTCTAAAAATCAATAAAAACACATCCTCAGTTAAGGATTTAAAAAGTGTACAAAGATAAATGAGTCTTGGTAAGGTGCTTATAGACTTAGTAGGTTATAAATGTAAAATGGACACACTATTGAAATTGAACAAGACCTAACTTGTATTAAAAAATGTGCTTCTAAACAGTATGGTTATTGAGTTTTATTGTAGCAAATGAGACCAGAGTGAACATTCAGCAAGCAAAAAGCTGCCATTCTTTCCTTTTTATTTTTTAGCTAATGCCTAAATTTTTTACTGAACTTGGCCTTAGGCAGTCAGATCATCCCAACAGAAGAGAAAATCGTGTCTGGAAATTGGCCATGCTAACACTTCATTATAGACAGAGATAAGACCTGCTGACACTCAGAGATAGTGATGGTTGCCTGGCTGGTTGTGGGCTGCCTATTTTCTCAGCTCCAAGTCAGCCTTCTGGTTATCTTTAACATGATTAGATGCATACTCCCTACTTTTCCCCCAGAAGAAAGGTATGTCATAATTGCTAAAACGAACTTGGAGCAAGACTTCAGCCAAATAATTATAAAAAGAGTTCCAGGGAAGGAAATCTGGTTACTTAATTTAAGATATGAAAATAAATAGAACTTAGAAAGTTTAAATTTATAAGGATTAAGTCTAGAGTTCTTGAAAGCAGAGACTGTATCTTAGTTTTGTGTAAAACATACATCTACTTAGCTGAGAGCTCTACAGGATACTCAGTAAATATGAAGGAATAGATAGCACCTAGATACAGTGTTTAATATGAAATCTGAGCTTTGCTACAGTAGTGTTTGCCAAATGCATTGGAATCACATAATGCATACATACACTTTTATTTTATTTTATTTTTTTATCCTCAACCCGAGGATATTTTTCCATTTATCTTCAGACTGAGTGTGTGTGTGTGTGTGTGTGTGTGTGTGTGTGTGTGTGTGTTGGGGGGGAAGGGAGACAGAGAGAGAAAGAAACAGAGAAACATCGATATGAGAGAGACACACTGATTGGTTGCCTCCTGCATGACCCTGACTAGGGTCGGGACCAAACCACAACTGAGGTACATGCCCTTGACCAGAATCGAACCTGCAACTTCTTGGTCCGAAGACTGATGCTCTAACCGCTGAGCCAAACTGGCCAGGGCCATACACTTTGTCTTTAGAAATACACTTTGACTTTTGACTTACAACCCCTGCTTAGAGATGAGACCTAGTCATCTCATTTACTTCTTAAAGGCTAAATTATAAAATGCATTATATATCTGTTTGTTTTCAAAGACACTGTGGTTAGATATTTAGATATGAACTTAGATCTTGTTTCTTAAATTCACTAGTTTTTAAATTTTAGTGAATGAAGAATTACAGTTCAAGGATCTAAATTGAACATGTGCCAAAACATGTGCCTGTGGATGATTTAAGGGACTTTCGAGTGTAATTTTTACATTAAGGCCATTTTCACCGATCTACTGACTTTAGAGCCCGAAGTAAAGTGCTACTCCATAGAGAGATGGCAAAGAAATTTCAAGGAGTGTCAATTCCCATTGGTAGTAGCTACCTAGAGTTCTGTAATAAAAAGGAATTGAGGCCCTGGTTGGTATGGCTCAGAGGTTTGGACATTGGCCTGGGGACCGAAGGGTCGAGGGTTCGATTCCTGGTCAAGGGCACGTACCTGGGTGGCATGTTCAATCCCTGGCCCCAGTAGGGGTTATGCAGGAGAAAAGCAGTCGATGAGTCTCTCTCACATTGATGTTTCTTTCTCTCTCTTTCCTCTCCCTCTACCCATCCCTCCCTTCCTCTCTCTCTAAAAATCAATGGAAAATACATCCTCAGGTAAAGATTACCAAAAAAAAGGATTGGGAGGCCCTGTTCTGCCACAATCCATTATTGAAATATGGAATTGGAGGTGGGAGGTTATTAATCTTTAATTTAAATTAAATCTGCCCACCCTTTTTATTCCCTGACAGTTTTATTGAGAGATAATTAATACATGTTCTATACAGTTCACCCATTTAGGAATTTATATAATTCCGTGGTTTTTAATACATTCACAGTTGTGCAACAAGCAGTCACCCCTATTTCCTTCTCTCCCTTAGCCCCTAGAAACTACTAATCTACGTTCTGTCTCTATAGATTTGCCTATTTTGGACATTTTATATACTGTAAATGGAATCATACAATATGTGGTCTTTTAAGAATTTTTTTAACTTAACATTATATTTCAACATCTATTAATGTAGCATGTATTATTAGTACTTTATTCCTTTTTCATTGCCAAATATTCCATAATATACCACATTTTGTTTATCCATTCATCAGTTGATGGACATTTAGACTGTTTCCACTTTTTGGCTATTTTGAATACTGCTATAACCATTCATGTACAAATTCATGTACTAAACATTTTCGTTTCTCTTAAGTTTTATGCCTAGGAGAGGAACTGTTAGGTCATACGGTAACTTGATGTGTTACCATTTGGGGAACTGCTAGATTGTCTTCCACGTCGCATGTTCTTGCTTATTAAATTAAAAAAGAAAAAATCCTTTCTAGTAATGGACTTTGATGCTAAATTAAAACAAATTCAAATCATATCCTAGAACAATTTTGGTCTTTTCACCTTAACCACAAAATTGGTTAGCTATGGCTCCCCCTTCTAGTAGTCATTTCTCTGACTTCAGAGATTGTATTTGTAGAACCCTGCATGCAGTTGTAAGAAGGAGGTAGCTTCTGCAGAGAAATGAGAGCCTGTGCTGTGTTGGAGTAAACTCCAGTGATATCTAAGTCCACACAGCATTGAGAAAAGATAACCCTTTGGCAAATCAGACCCAAGCATTTATTGAGATTGTGTGGTGAGAGAGATAGCAGAAAAAAAATTTAGATACAGAAACCCTTTTCTCCAGGCCTCTCAGTATGGGAGAATTTTCAGATACATCTGCTACCATAGCAGCCCGGAATGCAGCCTACAGAGTTCAGAGAGTTTTAAATCCAACTTTCCTCTCACCCTCCCAGCCCTGACCTCGCTTGCATTTTGTGTAATTTAGAGAGTAGTAGGGCAAAAGCTGACAATCTAACATTTAGGAAGACAGGAGGAAATTTTTCCCTGTTCTGTTTTTTGTTTGTTTGTTTGTTTGTTTCCTTGAGATACATGATTTAATAAGTGACTTCCAAAGAATAAATTACTTTGTTGGTGATTGTAATTACTAAAGAGGAATTATCACGTCATGGGCCTCAGGCTGATTCTTTAGAGTAAAATACAAGGCATGTTTTCAAAAGACTATTCAAGATGAGATTGTGTAACTACATAAACTGAAAATGGAATTTAGATGTTGAAATTGGTAGACAACTTTCATTCCTAGTAACTCCATGGTGCCCAGGTATGCCGAGGATCATGTTATACAGTTTCTGTACTAAATGAGTATAGCCTCTTAGTTTTTTAGCTTTTTTATTTTTTATTTTTTTTATTATTCTCACTCGAGGACATTTTTTTTGCATTTATCTTCAGATAGAGCAGGAGGGAGAGAAGGAAGAAGAGAGAGAAACATCCATGTAAGAGAGACACATCAAGTGGTTGCCACCCACACAACCCCATCCTGGGCCGGGGACAAATTGCAACCAAAGTACAGAACCGGGACTCTCTGGTCCAAGGGCTGATGCTCTAACCACCGAGCCAAACCGGCCAGGGCTTTTTAGCTCTTTTAAATATTTTGGTATTTAATTTCAGCCTAGGGAGTAAACAAGTTTTAAATAAATAAGAAAAACAGTACTGGCCATTGGATTTAGCCTGAGTATTAGAGCTGATTTCTCCCTTGGTTTCCTTGCAGGGTGCGGTATATTTTGAATGTCACTCGAGAGATAGATAACTTCTTCCCAGGAGTCTTTGAGTATCATAACATTCGGGTATATGATGAAGAGGCAACGGATCTCCTGGCTTACTGGAATGACACTTACAAATTCATCTCTAAAGCAAAGTGAGTAATGGGTCCTGAACACATTCTTCCCTTGTGCACCACACATGGTTGGGGCCTGAAAGCTGAAGATAACTTACTGAAGGTACTCAGAAAAAAGGAAGTAAAGAAAGAAAGAATCCCTGGCCAGTATGGCTCAATTGGTTGGGTGTCATCCCATGCATCTAAGGGTGGCAGGTTTGATTCCCAGTCAGGGCACAGACCCAAGTTACAGGTCCGATCCCCAGTCAGGTCATGTAAGGGAGGCAACCAATCGATGTTTGTCTCTCACAGTAATCTTTCTCTCTCTCTTTCTCTTTCTAAAATGTGTTTTGTTTTGTTTTTTTAATTAAAAAGAAAAAAATAAGACTGAGATTTCTTAATCGTAAGGGAAAGATGACTAGTGACTTAATACTTTTCCTTTAAGTAGATGAAGCCCCTGGAAAAAGATGAGCTCATGTTGGCTATTTTCATTGAGCACAAAATTAGAGTAAATAAACTTAAGCTGCAGCAAAAGAAATAGAAATGAGAGAAGGGAGAAATTCTGAATGAAATGCTTAAGTTGCCAATGGAAACATTTTATTTTTTTTTAATCCTCACTGGAAGATATTTTTCTATTTAATCTTTAGATAGAGTGAGAGGGAGAGAGAGAAACATCGATATGAGAGGGACACTTTGACTGGTTGCCTCTTGCACAACCCTGACCAGGGCTGAGGATGAACTGTAACCGAGGTACATGCCCTTGGCTGGAATCAAACCTGCACCTCTTTGGTCTGCAGGCTGACGCTCTACCACTAAGCCAAACTGGCCATGGTGCCAATGGAGACATTTTAAAGTTATATAATAGACATTATTCCAGATAGGTAGAATACTGGGTCCTCCTCTCCGTAAACAAGGAGATTAAAACATAGCTTTGGAAATCTTTTTTTTTTATGCTTTACTTTTATGATACTCTAAATAGTGAGATTTTTCTCTGGCCTTTCTCTTGATGTCTTCCTTAAATTTTTTTTTTGTTCAGATAGAGTGGGGAGGGAGAGAGAGAGAGAGAAACATCGACATGAAAGGGACACATTGAGTGGTTGCCACCTGCATGACCCAACCAGGGCCGGGGACAAACTGCAACCGAGGTATGTGCCCTTAGCAAGAACTGAACCCGGGTCTCTCTGGACCTCAGGCTGACGCTCTACCGCTGAGCCAAACCAGCCAGGGCTGTCTTCCTTAAATTAAAAAATATATTTTAGTGAAGCTATTTGATGGTATTAATTTAGTATATAGTATTAATAAGTCAACACTTGTTTGTTTGTTATTTTTTTATGTTTTATTGATTTTAGAGAGAGGGGAAGAGAGAGAGAAACATCAATCAGTTGCCTTCCTTACGTGCCTCAACCAGGCATCGAACCTGCAACCTAGGTATATGCCCTGACTGAGAATCAAACCTGAAACCTTTTGGTATATGGGACAATGCTCTAACCACTGGACACCCAGCCAAGGCTTACAGTAACTTTTTTTTAAGTCCCTGGGGTTTTCCTTGCCAATCCTATTTACACCTTCAATAGAAGGAACCACAAAAGAGCATGTTGGCCACACTCTTCCTTCAGGTGGGACCACATTCAAATCACCCCTGGCAGATGACAAGCACTTCTGTTTTTGAAGTTCTCCTTTAAAAAAGATTCCAGCCCTGGCCAGTGTAACTGTATGGTTAGAGCATCAGCCAGCACACTGAAGGGTTGTGGGTTCGATTCCTAGTCATGGACACATACCTGGGTTGCAGGTTCAATCCTGGCCCCAGCTGGGGTGCATGTGGGAGGCAACCAATTGATGTGTCTTTCTCACATCGATGTGTGTCTCTCTGTATCCCTCTCTCCCTCCCTCCCTCCAATACTCTAAAAAAATCAATAGAAAAAATATCCTTGGGTGAGAATTAACCAAAAAAAAAGAATGATTCCATACTTCTCTTAAGGATTTTAATAATAAGAAAAGTTTTCCTTTTAGTTACCTGAATTCCCATACTCTAGCTTAGAGCTCATGCTCTCAGTCTTTCACATCACCTAAAAGAGCACTTTATATTCTTGAAGAGCATCTATTCCTAATAATAATACCATTAACGGCATGCTTATTATGTGCCAGTTACTTTATGTGTATTCTGAATGGAAAGAAAGGATGGCGCTGGCCGGTGTGGCTCAGTTGGTTGAGCATCTTCCCATGCACCAAGAGGTAACTGGTTCAACTCCCAATTAGGGTACATGCCCAGGTTGTGGGCTCGACCCCAGTATAGGGCATGCAGGAGGCAACTGATTGATACTGCTCTCTCTCATCAGTGTTTTCTCTCTCTTCCTCTCTCTTCTTCTCTCTCAAATCATTTTATAAAATTTTAAAAAATAATCTGTTCGGCTACAGGTGTCAGCCTCATTTTTTTTTATTTTTATCCTCACCTGAGGACATTTTTTGCATTTATCTTCAGATAGAGTGGGAAGGAGAAAGGCAGGAAGAGAGAGAGAGAAACACCATTGTGAGAGAGACACATCGAGTGGTTACCACCCACACGACCCCAACCAGGGCCGGGGACAAACTGCAACCGAGGTATGTGCCCTTAGCGGGAACTGAACCCAGGACTCTGGTCCACGGGCCAACACTAATCGCTGAGCCAAACCGGCCAGGGCTGTGTCGGCCTCATTTAAAAAAAAGAAAGAAAGCCCTGGCTGGTTTGGCTCAGCGGTTAGAGCGTCCGCCTGCGGTCCCGAGAGACCCGGGTTCGGTTCCCGTTAAGGGCACATACCTCGGTTGCAGTTTGTCCCCGGCCCTGGTTGGTCGTGCGGGTGGCAGCCACTCGATGTGTCCCTTTCACATCGATGTTTCCCCCTCTCTCTCTCTCTTCCTCTCCCTCCGTCTGTACAAAAAATGGAAAAATGTCCTCGGATGAGGATAAAAAAAAAAAAAGAAAAGAAAGGCTTATTTCAGCATGGCTGGGATTAGGATGAGATACGTGAGGTGCCTAGGTTACATTTAAGTAGGCACTCCTTCAGGCTTCTGCAAGTTTAGGTCAGCATCTGAGTGTGTCTCCTGAACGGCACACTGGGCACCTCATGTGTTTTACCCTAATCAAGGACCCTGAATTCCAGACTCTGTATGTTAGGGTTACTAACATAATACCAGTCTTAATCTGGAGAATCCAGCACTGGGCCAGGCGTAGTAGGGTGCGGGGGATAAAACCTGAAAGATGAAATTGGGTTAGTTGAGAACTGAGTTCAGGTCGTTCACTACATGAGTTAGAAGCCATCCACTGAAAAAGCCTAGTTCAATATGAAATATTTTCATGGGAGTAGATTTTATAATTGTATTTTTCTTAAGATTGTCCGAGTTTGAACACCTTCCATGCCTGCAGGTACAGACATGAAATTTTATGCGTTAAAGTTGTCAGAGCTCAATGGGAATATATTTGAGCATGTGTCTGAACTTCCATCTGAGTCGCTGTGCATTGTCTTCCCAACTGTGGTATAAATGAAAACCCTATGGTACCATAAACAAAATAAGTATTTCCTAGTCATTTGGGATAATATAAACACACAGACACACCACACCAACCTTAGGACAGCAAAATTTTGCATCTAATTGACACATAGGAGGTTAATCTTACCTTCCTTCTAAGACTGTTTCAATTATTCCAGACTATTCTCTGCATTCCTATAGCTTATTTGGCTAACTCATTTTGGCACTTAAACTCATGGCCCTTAAACTCCTTCATTGGTACTTAACTCTTTCATGTGTCTCCATCTCCAGCAGGAGGATTATAAGCCTCTAGAAGGAAGCTTATCTACTATAATATTGTGAGTGAGTGAGTGAGTGAATGAATAGATTTCCTCTTATAAGATGACACATGCATTTTTAAATTTATTGAAATAGCCACTTGGAAAGAATTCCAGCCCATGTATCCTAGTGATAAGAGTAACCATTCCTTTTTCCAGATTAAAACGTTATTCTTTCCTGGCCAGTTTAGCTTAACAGTTAAGAGCATCGGCCCAAGGACCAAAGAGTCTCAGGTTCAATTCCAGTCAAGGTCACGTACCTCAGTTGTTGCTCAGTCCCCAGCCCTGGTCAGGGTCATGCAGGAGGCAACCAGTCAATGTATATCTCTCACATCAATGTTTCTCTCTTCCTGACCACACTTCTGCCCCATCGGAAGATAAATGGGGAGAAAAGTCCTCTGGGTAGGATTTTAAAAATAAATAAAAATGTACCTACTTATAACTGACAGATCTAATCAGCAGATCCATAAGTTTGTTCACATATTTAGCAAACATTAGGTTTATTCTGTGCCAGACACTGTGTTATTAGCAGAATTAGCATAACCGAGTGATGTTCATATTCAAGGTAATAAACTCTGGCATAGTAAGACTGGAGAGTTGCCTGGCCCGTGTGGCTCACTGGTTGAGCATCAACCCATGCACCAAGAGGTCACAGTTTGATTCCCAGTCAGGACACATGCCCAGGTTGTGGGTTCAATCCCCAGTTGGGGGCATGCAGGAGGTAGTCAATCGATGTTCTCTCTCATCGAGGTTTCTCTCTCTCTCTAAAATCAATAAAGAAAAAAAAAGACTGAAGGATTTTGTTTTGTTTGTTTTTTAGTATCACCTTATGGTAACTTTGTTTTCTTGTTCTTCCACCCCATTAAAAAGAAAAGGGTAGTTATTCATTCTCTCCTCACTGAAAAGGCCCCATGGTGCATCTCATGGTCCTGACTCCACCGGTTTGCAGCCAGTTCCTAGGCGGAACACGGGCCATAATGTTGTGAAAAGTAATATCCAGGGCTACATCTGAGCAAAGAGGAGGATTAATTTGATTTGTGCTCTCCTCCAGGGACAGAATCCTTACGGAACTTGAACTGGAAGCAATTCAGAACATTTGGATAAATTAGGCGAATCACTACCACACCTGTAACTCGAGAGTGTGCCAGACATAAACATGCCCCTGGGGCCATAAAGGGACTGACCTTCAACCATACCCAAAATGGGGTTCATTCTCTAAATTTAAATTTCTCCCCTAACACTCTGTGACCAACTGTCATTGCAATCACCATTTTGAACTTCAATCATCTGCTTCTCCCACTGAATCCTACCCTTTAGGCACAGGGGTGGATGAACCTTTTTTCTGCCAAGAGCTATTTGGATATTAATAACATAATTCACAGACCATACAAAATTATCAACTTAAAAATTAGCCTGCTATATTTGGTCAGGCTAATTTGATGAGGCATGTGTTGTTAGTTGGTATTGATTTTGTGGGCCTTACATGGCCCAAGGGCCAGACAGTTCACACTCCTCTATAGGGAAAAAACTGTTACTTTTTTTTTTCCTCACAGTACCTTGCACATTGTGTTACACCTGGTAAATATTTGCTGAATGAATTAAAGAGGCTTAATATTAACACTGAATATTGTTTGAGTACACTAGAGTTGCCTACCCTCTCTGCACATTTTATTATAGATATATATAAGTACACTAAGGTGGGATGGACTATGCAAGAAAGTGAAAGCGCAGGACAGGGGACTTAGAAACATTTAGAACCCAGCTTTTAAAATATCCTCACTATTGCCCAGCTGGTATGGCTCAGTGGTTGAGTGTCGACCTACACACCAACAGGTCACTGGTTTGATTCCTGGTCCGGGCACGTGCCTAGGTTGTAGGCCAGGTCCCCAGTGGGGGGCGTGCAGGAGGCGACCAGTTGATGTTCTCTCTCATTGATGTTTCTATCTCCCTCTCCCTCTCCCTCTCCCTTCCTCTCTCTCTCAAATCAATAAAGAAAAAAAAATTAAAATATCCTCACTATTGCCCAGTTGGTATGGCTCAGTGATTGAGAGTCATTCCATGAATCAAGAGGTCGCTGGTTCAATTTCCGGTCTGATCGATGTTTCTATCTCTCATTCCCTCTCTCTTCCTCTCTCTTTAAAAAAAATCAATAAAACATATTTTAAAAATCAAATAAAATATCTTCACTGTTGTGTTTTCCTCCTTACCTCAATCCCCCAAACTAGGAAACACGGATCTAAATGCCTTGTGCACTGCAAAATGGGGGTGAGTCGCTCAGCCTCCACTGTGATTGCATATGCAATGAAGGAATATGGCTGGAATCTGGACCGAGCCTATGACTATGTGAAGGAAAGACGAACAGTGACTAAGCCCAACCCCAGCTTCATGAGACAACTGGAAGAGTACCAGGGAATCTTGCTGGCAAGGTGAGTCTTTAACTGTGACTCTCAGGTTTTCCTTATTTTATGCTCCCTAGGGCAAGGTGAAGTGTCCTCTGCAGCTAGTTCTCAGCCTAACTTTGATGTGTCACATGTTTGAAAATTGAAATCTATCCAGTTTTTTTAAAAAGTAAGTATAAGCATTTAAGATTAGCAAGGAAGATTAGGCATTTAATCAAAATTAATAGTGTTTTTCACCCTGTAATTTAAACTAAAGGGTGGAAAATACTTTTCCTTTATTCAGTCCTCAACTAGGTGCAGATTTTATTTTATTTTATTATTTATTTTTTTCAATTCTCATCCGAGCACATTTTTTTTCTATTTATCTTGAGAGAAAGGGAAAAGAAGGGAAAGAGAGAGAAACATTGATGTGAGAGGGACACATCGACTGGCTACCTCCCACACGAGCCCGACCAGGGCCAGGGACTGAACTGCAACTGAGGTACATGCCCTTGACTGGAATCGAGCCCATGACTCATTGGTATGTGGGCCGACACACTAACCGCTGAGCCAAACCAGCCAGGGCTAGGTGTAGATTTTAATAAATACTTCTCAATATCTTTTTTCTCTTTTTTACTGAATTTATTGGGGGTGACACTCATTAACAAAAATATACAGGTTTCAGTGCAGTTTTATAACACATCATTTGTACACTGTATTGTGTGTTCACCACCCTAAGTCAAGTCTCATTCCATCAACATTTTCTCCCTAGACCCTGCTCCACCTCCCACTCCTTAACATCTTCTAATGCCACTTGCAACTGTCTTATCAAAATGTACTCAATCACTCCTGAGGCAATTCTAGGCATAGCTGAAATTCTGTGGCCCATTTGTTTAAAAGAAGAAATGCTGTGGCCCATTTGTTTAAAAGAAGAAAAGTACCTGCTGCTGCTTTGGACTTTTTATTGTATTTATTTATTTACTTATTTTTTATTTTTCCAGTGCTTGGTTTCACTGAGCCTACTTCAGTAATTTTGGTCATGTGACAAAATCAGCAGAATTGGGATATATATATCCCATTTGAAGTGTGAAGGTGCATCTCAGAAATAATTTTATTGGTTTGTTTGTTTTGTTTTTTTAATCCTTACCCAATGACATGCTTTTCATTGATTAGAGAGAGAGAGAGAGAGAAATGTCAATGTAAGAGGAAAACATTGATGGGTTACCTCACATGTGTTCCCCGACCAGGGAATGAACCCGAAATCTGGCTATGTGCTCTGACCAGGAATCAAACCCAAGACCCTCTGGTGAATGGGACAATGCTTTAACCACTGACCCACACCAGCCAGGGCTATTTTTTTTTTTTTTATGGATTTGAGAGAGAGTAGAGAAGGGGGAGAAAGACAGACAAACAGACATTAATTTGTTGTTCCACTTATTTGTGCATTCATTGGTTGATGCTTATATGTGCCCTGACTGGGAATTGAACCAGTAAACTTGGTGTATCAGGAAAATGCTCTAACCAACTGAGCTACCTGGCCAGGGCTTGTTTTCTTTTCATCCAATTTACGTACAGGGTGTGGCAAAAGTAGATTTGCAGTTGTGAGTACAAGAAACAGTTTATTCTTTTTTTGATGCGTGCCCCTAGCAAGAACCAAACCCAGGACTCTCTGGTCCGCAGGCCAATGCTCCAACCACTGAGCTAAACCAGTCAGGGCAACAGTTTATTCTTGTATTACTATTTTTTAATCATTATATTATTTTCCATACAAATACCTGCAAACCTATGTATGCCCCACCCTGTATATACTTTGTAAAAATGCAAAAAAAAATATTACAAAGGGAGAAATTATTTATAAATTCAATATCCACAGAGAACTGTTGACATTATCTTACCTAGTTCAACTATAACAACATATACTAAGCACTTACACTGTACTTAACCATCACTGTTCCTTTTATCCCCCCAGCTTTATTGAGATCTAATTGACATACAGTATTGTGTAAATTTACGGGGTACAATATAGTATTGTGTAAGTTTAAAGTGTACAAAGTATTGATTTGACAAAATTATACATTGCAAACAGCTTGCCACCATAGCATTCACTAACATCTCCATCCCTTACACATTTTTTTTTTGTGGTGATACTATTTAAGATCCCTCTTAGCAACATTCAAGTATATAATACAGTATTAGCTGTAATCACCATGCTGTACATTAGATTCCCCAGAATTTGGTAATCTTATAACTGGAAGTCTATACCCTTTGTCCAGTATTGCCCCATTTCTCCCAACCCCCATTCCTGGTAACCAGCACTCTACTGTCTGTTTCTCTGAGTTCAGCTATTTATGTGACAGCATACTGTATTTGTCTTTTCTCTGTCTACCCAGTGCTAGGTCTTGAACATCTTCCTGGGGAGTGTGAACTAGCTATTTCAACAATAATTTGGTGATTGGTTATAAAATGAGTAATGTATTTCACTGCATTATTTATTACCCCTGTTTTGGTAAAAGCCACCTTCATCCAGCTGCTCTGGGGGAAAAGATTCAGATATTAAACTGGATTTAATGATCAGTTTCCTGAGATGCCACATGCCGAAGTTCTGTGGAATGCTAGATTTTGCTTTGTTTTTTTTTTTATTTAGGCTTGTTCTAGGTAGTTTTGTTATGGTGAAGGCACAGCTACCTAAAAGTATTTGGGGCTGGTGCCAGAGTTTGACTCCAGTGAGTCTCATGAGTTGGTCTTGACTCTTGACTCTGGACTATGTTTCCCCTGAAAAAAATATTAAATAGCTTTCCAGCCTATCCAGGCAGAGGGACCACCCTCCCACCTCTGAAGTATTGTGAAAATGTGGTCACAGCACAGCATTATGGTTCCACTAAAAAACCCCTCCCATTTACTCAGTAGTTGGCATGATTTCCTCTGAGTCGTTCTCTTAGGAGGCTGGGAGGATACAAAAGTCTCCTCCACTTAAAAGAATTTGTAGGTCTTTGGGGCCAGATATTGATGACATTTTTAGATTAGATCAGAAAGTAGGGCACAACAGTTCTTTATGACACAAGAAAGAGGCATCTGAGGGTTGGATGAGACATAAATATTATGTATTCCCAGACACACGACAGAGGTTAGGCAATGTCCTCACGTGACCCATTGAGAGGAAGGATACTATGTGTCCTGCCAATTTCAGTATTTATTCTGGAATTGCAGGCTACTGCAAGCTGTTGGGTTGGGTCTTTTTAGCATATGTGGTTTTCTAAGATGTTAAAGGAATTTCAGAAAAATCTTAAATGAGGATAAGAAGGGCAGCATAAACCCACGAATCACTCTGCCTCTTTCCTTTCGATCCCTGACTTCCTGGGCTTGATTCATGGAGGGAGGGGCAAGCCCTAGGGAGCGTGAAAACCACAGAATTTGAGTCAGTAGATCTGGTTTTCATTCCTGGTTCACTCCCTTGCTATATCTCTGAAAAGTTACTACACAATTCTGATCCTCACCTGACCCTGTCTGTAAAATGAAAATCAAGAGACCTTCTTCATGGGGTTATTGTAAGTTAAAATATGTATGAATGTGTATTATATACTATTAAGGGTTATTCAGATGAGATCCTCATCATCTCCTTCCTCCAGAAAACACATACATGGCATGTGCCGTTTATTTCTCCCTCCTTGACATAGGTAAATGCCATTTATTACCTCCTCTTTCCTCCAACCACTGCCTCCCACCACCCAGAGACACATCAGCTTCATCAGAAACTGTTAGAAACTGGAATGAGAAATGGTATTGGAATTTCCTGTATTGTGATGTCTCTTGGATCTTAAGAACTGGAATCCAGAGCTAGGGCTATCACTTAGGCTGCTTTTAGCTTCAAGTAACAGAATACCTCCATCAGTCAAGATCTCAACAAGAAACTGCATACTCAGATTAGGATTATTTGAGGAGGGTTTTATAAAGGGGCTATTTACAAAGATGTGGATTGAAGTGTAATCAAGGGACTTGTATCAGCAGAGCTGTTTGGTAATGGCTCTGCAGTCCAAAGAGGATGGGAGCAGTTATCAGAACCTAGGAGGAGACTTCTGGGGAGAAAGGCACCTTCAGAGAAGAGTAATAACCCTCAGTTAAGGACATAGCCAACCTGGAGTGATCCTGCAGAAGGGAGCTAGGGAAATAGATGGTCTACCTTTACTTTCCTCCCTCCAGTCTCCTGGCAAAGGGGCCTGTTGATGTGGTCCATAGATCAGCCTTGGGGGCAGAGAGCAGGGTGGAAAAGCTGAAGAGTGGATCTGCAAGGGCAAACAGAAGATATCTGGCCCAACCCTCAGCTATAGGTAGTTTAAAAAGTTGGACCATTTGTCCACCCCCAGTGTGGCTCAGTGGATTGAGCGTCATCTCGTGCATCAAGAGGTCACCAGATCAGTACCCAGTGAGGGCGTATGCCTGGGTTGTAGCCTCAATCCCCAGTAGGTAGCATGCAGGAGGCAGCTGATCGATGTTTCTGTCTCTCTTTCTCCCCCTCCCTTTCTCTAAAAGTCAATAAAAGCATATTTTAAAAATATATAAAAATAAAAAGTTGACCCTGGCTGGTTATGCTCAGTTGTTAGAGCGCCAGCCTGTAGTCCAAAGGGTTGCAGGTTCAATTCCAAGTCAAGGGCACATACCTGGGTTGCAGGTTCAATTCCTGGCCCTGGTTGGGGTTGTGCAGGAGTCAACTAGATGTGTCTCTCACATCGATGTTTCTCTTTCCCTCCCTCTCTTCCATTCTAGCTAAAAATCAATCTAAAAATATCCTCAGGTGAGGATTAACCAAAAAAAGAATAATAAAATAAAATATTAAAAAATAGAAAATAAAAAGCTGGACCATTTAACATCACTGTAACAAGCACAGAAGTAGATTCTGTAATGGCTCAGTGATGTAGTCAGGGACTTGGGTACTCTCATCTTTCTGCTCTGTCTTCCTTGGTGAATGGCTTGGTCCTTGAACTTGTCTCCTCATGATTGCCAGATGTCTACCATATTTCTAGGCATCTACATGTAAATTCCACAGCATCTGG